TAGCTCAGATATAGACATCTTGCAATGTAGATGTCTGAAATGAGGTGATATAAATCCTAGCCTGTGGGAGAGTCATAAGAACAGGGATCATATCTCAATTCTTGAGGAGATTCTTTTTTTCCAAGTACTTGACTTAAGGGTTTATCTAGCTTCCCAGCTACTGAACCATTTACTCTGATATGATTCTCTTGCCTCCTTCTACATGTAACTGTGTCTTCTCAAGTTACCTGTTTACTAAGAGATGGACTCATCTCAGCAGTGGGGCTTTTCAGAAGTCTGAAAAGTGTATTGTCTTTAATGTCCTTTCAAATTCTCACTACACTTCCCATTCCTCCCAAGAGTCACTGGGGAGAGCTTTGGAGGACTGAGGACACATACTAAGTTACTGTCTGTTAATTAGTAACAGTTACTGCCTGTTGATTTGGGTCATACTAGCATCACTGCTGGGGAACAAGCATTACTTAATGATACCTCCTCAGCAATGGGAAAGTTGCAGCTGGGGAATAAATGCTTTTTGGAAAAAAAGAAAACTTCTGGGAGAAGTTGTATTATAACAGAAGAGCAAACGTCTCTGCAGTGACAAGGCAGCAGCAACACCAGAGCCAAGAAAGTCTCCCGATTGAAATTGCTGTTTGCAGTTATGATACTGCTTGAATAATGCAGGCATTAGCTTATTGCACTCACAGGAGATGGAGGTTAGATCACAGAGTTCTTTGATGGCTGCTGGTGGGAGGAGGAAGAGGGAGGTGAGAGCAGCTACTGTTCCTAGTTCAATCTAAGGATATGTAATCTGCTGTGTTTGAATGCTCACTGTAGGAGAGCAGCCAGCTTTCATCTGCTCTGTTCATGGCACGAGCCAGCTCACCTGAGGGACATGAGGACTCCCTACCACACAGCATCCTTTTCAGACCTTGATCTGATCTCTCATACTCCCACTTTTCACATACACAAGCAAGGATGCATGGGGAGTACTGGATCAGACATGCTTTTTTGCTTTGCTTTTCATGATGGATGACTTTCTGAGGACACCAGTGCTTCCCACTGCAATTCCATTTGCCCGTCTGGTACTTGGGTTCTCCTGTTAGGGTTGGGCTTTAGCCTGCCACTGTCAATTCCTTAAAGCCCACCTGGAAATGATTCAAGGACAGAGCAGCCAGCTTTCTCAGCTGGTACAAGCTAATATGACTCCATTCAAGTCAGAGAAGCTGAACCAGTTTGTGGCAGCCAGGACCTGGCCCAAACATGTAAAGTGCATGCTGGGACTAGGAGATAGGCTCTGGATTGCACTGAGCCACAATGCAATAGCTGAGTATCACAGTGGATTTAAGAGCCAGATGGTGAAATTCCTTGGCTCGGGCACAAGGACCTGGTGTGTCTGACTTCTTGCTCCAGTGGGAATTTTCTTTACCAATTAATTAGTGATTGTTTTATAAAGGGACACCCATGTCTTCCCACGGGCAGCATTCCCGAGTGCTAGCTTACTGTGTGACACTGGCCAAACCAGATCATTTTAGTACTTCAGGTTGCCCAGCTGTGATATTTTCTGTGGGTGCAGGCTCAATTACTGGGTGCTTGTAAAGCACTTTGAGATTCTGGCTGAAGAAGTGAAATGGCCTTGGGTTTGTTCATTTATGTCAATGGAGACTTTCAGTCTCAGCCCTGCTTTACATGGTTTCTGCAGCGCAAATGCCATTCTCTTGAATGATAACCCCTCAGTGTTTGTAATAAAAACCCCTTTCTCTCCTTTTCTTCCCCTCTTCCCTCCCCCAAGGAGGCAGTTCCCTCCCTCCCCTTCGGCTCCTAAGATCCCATCATGGCAGATCCCAGTGAAGCCAAGCTCACCCTCCAATCCTGTTGTTGCCAACCATAATAGCAGCAGTGACATCTCCCCTGTCAGCAACGAGTCTACCACCTCATCACCAGTCAAGGAGAACCACAGCCCTGAGGGCTCAAAGGTCAGCTGCCATCTCCTGAGCACAGAGGAGGGCAACAAGGCAGTGATTGACGTCAAGAGCCAAGTGCGGATGGAGGTGCAGGGGGAGGAGGAGAAAAGGGAAACCAAAAGGAATGAAGAGGAGGAAGAGGACGATGAGGATGATGATGTTAGCCATGTGGATGAGGAGGAATGTCTGGGTGTCCAGACTGAGGACCGGCGAGGAGGGGATGGTCAGATTAATGAGCAAGTAGAAAAGCTACGAAGACCTGAGGGGGCCAGCAATGAGAATGAGATTGACTAAGACACCCTGGCTTCTGCTGCTGCTGTACATCTGCCCTAGGCTCCTGCACTGTCCCCGGTGCCTCTCCCATTTTGAGGAGAGAAGTGCCACCATCCTCTCCCATGATCCTTTCATGACTGACCTTGAGCAGGGTCATGACTGCCCAGTGAACAAGGTGGGCCCTGTTTCACCACAGGGCTTTGCAGCATTGCAGTGGCTTCTTCTCCCCTCCCAGACCTTCTGCCCATGAGCTGAGGTCATTGCCTAGGCTGGAAGACCAATCGCCTTACCATGCACCACAGCTAGAGAATCAGTTCTCTTGCAAAAACACCATGTCTCCCAAAGCAGCCAGCCTCTTCGCTGCCTCCTAGCCCTCTCCAGTTTCAGAAACCAGTCTGTCCTGAGCTTTTTGATTTCACCAGCCTTTAATCCCCACAAAAGGCCCAAACCAGTTTTCTGTTTCCCAAAATAACCCTCTGGTTTATTTCTCAAACTACTTGATATTCTGTTGCCAAAAAAAGAACGTTTTAACTCTGAATTCCTCACCAGATCTCAGTCTTGGCTCTCCCAAGCCTTATGTCAAGCCTCAGATTCCTGAAACTACCTAGTATCTAAAAACACTAAATTTTTGTGGGGTCCAAAGAACACTGTTTCCACCCCACATACTTCCCCTCATCAAAGTGGCCTCTTGCTAGAGACCAAGTGCAGGTTTCATGGCCGCAGTAAAATCCACGAGAACAAGTGGCTTTGTTACTGATTGTGCCCCAGTAAAAGAAGGTTTAAAAGAAGCTGACTCCACTCATCCCAGTTATTACCCTTCCTCCTCCAAAGACAAGACGGTCACATCAACTTTTGACTAGTAGCCCTGAATTAATAAAAGGTGATATCAGATGCTGAAACAGTTGATTAATTCTGAATCTTTGCAATGGTTTCTAGCCGGGTTTTCTCCCTCAATGAGGAGAAAACCCATCTTAAATGACCAGTGACAGGCACCTCCTTCAGCAAAGCAGTCTCTACAGAAGAAAGAACAGTTCCAGCTCTGAGGTTAACCACTGGCCCTTCTTGCCCAGTCCAGCCTTTTCTTGCCCCACTGGGGCTTTACACAAATGAAACCAGTGAATTTTGAAACCTCTCATTTGCAGCATTGTGTTCTCAGCTGGTAAAATGGTGGTGTCCAATTATATTACTCACTGCATCAGAGCCTCTTAGCAGAGCAATTCTTGTAACAACTGAGTCTCACTGTCCTCACCAAGCAAGTGTGCTCGTCTGTGTGATCATGTATAGATTTCAAATATAAAATATGATTGTATATAATTGTAATAAATATGAGTTACCACTATTTAACACCAGGCTATTACTGGATTGCTGTGGCTCTTATTTTGGGGTGGTAAAGGGAGGGAAAAGGGACTATCACAGAAATTCAGTCCTTATAAAATGTTTTCTGAAGGATGTTTATGGTTGATTTTCTGACTGTTCCAATACTAGGTTATATCAGCAGGAGGCAGTGTGGAGAACAGTGTAAGTAAGTGCAATATAAGGTACAATATAAAGTGCACCAACAACGCTGTAATGCTGGGCTGCCTCTGGTGTTCCAGAGGACAAGGTGGATGTATCATCTGGTGAGTAACATGCAGCTATTCCAGTGTCTATCCTCCCAGCAGGAGGCTCTGGAGGGTGCAGAATGCAGCATCCCTCTCCTTCCACCCCCAGCAGCAGGAGGTGCTGAAGGGAGTGTGAGATATCCCACAGCCCCTTGGTCTTATCTACCAGCAGGGAATGCTGCGCCGTATCCCATGACTGCTCTAACCCTGCCATGTCAGTGCAGAAGCCATTGAAAGAAATGGCATGCAGCAAGTAACTCGTAGCTACTGCAGTCCCATCTTTGTACAGCATAAGTATTTGGCTCCCTTCTTAAAAATGAGGGATTTACTTGATTCCTGAGTATTTGGGTGTCTGGTACACAGTGACATTTTCCTGCTCAGGGGGAGCGAAAGGGACCTTCATATTACTGTATTTAGACCTGCTGCTGAATGTGATGATTTCTCATGCCTTAAATGGACGAATATCTTCCCCAGGAGTGAGTGAGTGTGTGTGTGTGTGTGTCCCTCTCCCTCTCAGTCTCTCTCTCCGCTGTTTAACGTTCACAAAGAACGTCACGTTTAGCTAAAACAGGGCAAATTTGAAAGTGTTTAAAAGGAAAGGCTTTCCTTAAGAGATGGCACTTTTCATTTCTCCAAGCCAAGAATCCTTGTGAAAAGAAAACATGACTGAACGCAGGGATGTGATGAAAAAGTATTGTCCTGCCTGTGTACATTTTATATACATAGAAGGTTTTGAAAATAGAAAGTGCCTGGACAACAGCAGTTGGTGAAATGTGGAAAATATTTTGCTGAGGTATGTGCCTTGCAGTGACTTACGAGGTTTACAGTACAAGCATCCCTGTGGGTTCAGTTTTCCCCCCTTTTCCTCCATGTTGCCAGTGTTCAATGCATTTACCCTGAGATTTCTGGTGCAGGGTAAAAGGCACTTTTCTTCAGCTGCTCTCTTCCCTCCCTTAGTTGTGCTGCTTACAGCCCTTACCAATTCAACAGGTCATTGTTTTTCCTTCCGACCTGATGAATCCCAGAAAACTCCATCATAGCCATTGTTGCTCAAAAACTCCAACTCTGGGCCTCTGGCTGCTGATGGGATGTTTGTGTACTTTGTTGAAGAGATCCAACCCACCAGCAGAGAATTTGGAACAAGCCAAAGCCTTCTTAGCAGCAGGTATTGTTGTGCATCACGAGTTTTGTTCTTCTGTCTCGTGTTCCTTGTCTCTCCAGCATAGCAACAGTTGTGGGGTGTTTTGGTACTGATGAACCATGTAGCCTCACTGCTAACTTGTAACTAACTTCTCCTTTTTGTTTTTTGCTAGAAAAAAGCCCACTTAGATCAGCTGCCCTGTGAAATGTTTAGCCCATTGGCCGGTAGGCACTGGGAATGGCATCATATTAGCTGAAAGATGACCAGATAGCAAACCTTTTATCTGCAGAACAAGAGAGACAGCAGCAGCAGTCATCCACCATCTGGCTGTATTCAAATACTGTGTTTTACTGTGTAATCAGCCTTTGTTTTGACACAGGAAGAAGAATAACAACACCCTGGTTGGTGAGTTCAGTGGGTTCATAACATGGTTCCTATAGGTCCTTGATACTGTATAAAAAGCAGGTGAAGGGAGCTTCCTCTGAACACTGTTATTTGAGCACATTTCAGTGAAACCCTGTGAGCCTGTGCTCTCCCTCCTAGAGGAAACAATAACAGGCTGGTGCTTTCCAGTAATTTGAGGATATAAAAGCTCCCTTCTCAATAACTGCAAGAGGAATGTGGGGAACTCAGAAAATGTGGCAAAGTGGGAACGGGTTAAGGGAGGTATCTGCTGATCATCTTTGTCCAACCTTCCTCACCCCCAGATGTGACAAATAAGTCCTATGTGCATCTTCACCATCAGAAGCAGGAAGGATTTTTTTATTGCCATTTGTGTGTTGAGGGTGTAACCTAACAGTGTTGGGGATCAGGAGGAGGAGGATGGACTGTAGGACCCCATTTAAACTTGCTGCTTTGCTGCAAAGTATTTTCCTTATAAGAGTGCCTCAGTTTCCACATGTGATAGTAAAAACTGCTGGCTGGTAAATGTAAAGATGTGGCAAAAGCTGCAGGCAAAGCCAACTTTGGGAACCAGGTTTCATGCTCACACAAAAACGCCAACCCCCATTAACTGCTGTGCCCTGGAGCAGGACCCCAGCCCCCATTGCTGGCTGTGCTGTGGAGGAAAGCAGTGCAGGGCTGCAGCACGATGCCCACCTGCAGCCACTGTACCATAATAGCCCTTATTAGGGGGGACAATAGTTCTGGACTGCACAGCTGTGTGAGGCGAGCTGCCCTGCCCTCCTGCAGCAGCCTGCACTGGTCACTTGGCCATCTTGGCCTGGCCTGGCATTTTAGATCTGGCCTTTTCTTCTTGCAACTCAGGTGCTTCTGCCAAGTAAGTGCTTTTTAATAACTATGTTTTCTCTTGACTTTGTCTTCAATAAGGTGGGGGGAACTGGCTGCATTGCCAGTGGCTGCCTCACCCTGATCTGGGGTTTGTTGGAAGGTCTGTCCTGATGTGTACTGCTGTATGTACATGGTATGTGCTGGGATGCTGCCTGGGGCAGGGAGGAAACTATGGAAAAAGTCTGTGTCTGCTCCATGGCTTTCATTTGCAGTGCCTACTGCAGAAATGGAGGCTGCCTTTGCTTTTCCTTTGGTGGGGCAGTGTGATGCTTGGGCAAAACAAAGGCTAGGCAGCAGGTCCCGAGTAGCTTTCTGTTGCAAACCTGTGGTGTTAAAAGTCAAGGTCTCCATGCTTACCTAAACCTTCCACACTCAGCAGGTTGTGGAGTACATAAGTGTTTTTCCCAAGGGCTTTGACAACAGGAAGCTTTGGGAGGTCCCTTCTTTGTGGTGATGGTTTATGTTAAACACAAACCATATGTGGTGGTGACCCTGTGCACCAAAAACTGACATTAAGCTTGAGCTGAGAGTCTTCTGCCTGGACTTGATCCCTCATACCAATGGGTGGTATGCAAGTGCAGAGTAAGAGAGAGACTTGGCCTTCAGGGATTGAAAACATAAATAGAGGGATGCTGGGAGGTGAAACACAAGAAACCATTTACCTGAGGGCACAAGAGAGAACTTCCCCCTTTCCTCATTTTCCCTTGTATCATCTTATCCCAGACTGCTGCTTCCCTCAGGAGTCACTCTCTGTAGGCACCTTTAGAGCTGTGTTCACCTATTATGCTGATGAAGGGCTGTGTTTTACCACTGTGTATCCTCTCAAAAAGTGAAAGAAAGCAATGGAAATGTACCCGAGGTGAATTTTGGGGTATGAAGGAAGAGGGATGATGCAGGGCTGGGCCCAGCTCTTCCACTTGCTGTGCAGTAGGAGCTCTGAACTGCACACTTGTAGATGGAGGGGCTGGCATGGGCTCTCCCAGCTTAGGGAAAAAAACAATCCCATCCACGAAAGGGAGCTAGCACTAACCTAATAAAGGCACCAGCTGGACGGAGGGAAAACCAGCTCTTTGGGAAAAAAAAAAAACAGCTCACAACCTCCTTTCATTAGAAAAATAATATATTTCATCCAAATAAGGTAAAAATATTTGAAATGGGGCAGAAGTGAGCACTAGGCAGCATCTGTCAGGCCCTTTCTGAAAAGGGGAAGATTATTAAACTCAATTACAATTTATTTTTGTAAAGTGTCTTTCAGACTAAAAACCTCCCCAAATGCTTTGCAAGGACTGCTGAGGGGTTCCTTCCAACATGGAGCATCTTGGAAGAACGCTCCTGTTTCCCCACCAAGCCCTTCTTTTCTGCATCTGCTGCAGGATTTAACCCTTCAGGATTTTACTTGTTTAATTCTGTGTTTGCACAAATGATGAGAGATGGTTTGTGGTGCTGGCTCCAAGTACATACCTGAAGGGGGGGGTGGATTTGACGTTGTATTTTCTCCTGGTTTAGGTAAAATACTTGCTTTGCTTTAGGACTGTATGTCCTGAGGGAGAAGGTGATTGGTTGGACAGGCCTGATTCAGAGGACCTAGAAGTACAACTGGCTTATTTGTTGCCTGGTTTTGCTTCCGTGCCTGTCCCATTGCCAGCCTGTTTGTCTGCCTCTCAGGCACTTTGTTTGCCTGGCATGTCTGTTCTGTACAGCATCCCAGTTGTTGGGTTTTGGGTGTTTCATCATGCCTGTCTCCTGATGCCCAGTGCTCTCCTCTTGCTAACACTTCAGAAGCAGACTGCTTCCAACTTTATCCTTGTTTCTGTAAGTTAGTACTGACGTTTTATCTGTGTGGAGCTAGGGTAACATCTCCTTAAAATGAATATCTTTAAGTGATTTTTAATTCAACCCAAGCAAATTCTTGGGTGGACATTTTTCCATCTCTTTGAACAGATTGGCTTTACTTGAGCAGCTTTGACAGATACATGCATTCACAAAAGAATGTGTGTGAAATTGCTGCAGCTTTCCTATGTAGATGACTTACTCTTTGCTTCCTGCCCTCCTACAGTACCCAACAGTAGATTTCATCTCTGCATGCCTGTTGCCTGCTTGCTTCGTATGTTTTGTGTCTGTGCATTGCTGTGCAGTAATATCAATGCTTCCACTGCAGCAGCCAGCAAGTTTTGGGTGTGAGATTTGGGTTCCTTCTTGCTTCACAGTCTCTTCTGTTCCCCAGAAGGAGCTAAGTGCAGCCTGATATTTCAACTGAAACTGGAACATCCCACTATTGCATTTATTTCTTACCTCCTTTATAACCCAACTCTCAAACCCACAGGCAGAGTTTACTAATCTCTGTAAAACAGAGATGTAGTGAATGTCCCGTCTGCAGCTCTGCAGAGGGGATGATGTGTTAGCTGTGGGGAACCATCTCTGTGTGGTGGCTGTTACGGCCTTGGGAGGTGCTGCCTCTGGTTCCCTTCCACCTCATGGGTGCAACAAGCTCCAGCTGAGACATGACTTGTAGGACTGGTGCCTGGCAGCTCAATGAGCAAGCTTGCTTCCCTGCGAGGGCTTTCTGACTTGCTGTGGTTACAGACCAAATGGCTGGTTTTTATCCTCTTCAATGTGTTGGACTGCAGAGCTCTGATGTGTAGGCAGAGCTTGGCTGTGGCCTGGGATCACAGGAGGGTCCTAGGGGCTGCTGGTGACAGCAAGGGCTCGGGGCAGATGTTGGTAGCTGGCTTCCCAGTGAGAGCACAAGGCAGCACCGTGCCCTGTGGGAAGGGGGCAGGGAAGGGCTCGGCTGCCTGTCAGATAAATCTTGGTCTGTTTACTTAAATCCTCAGTGTTTCTTCATTTGTTTGTTTAAGAGTTTCCCTGCCAAAAAAGAGCAGAAGGAAGGAGGGAAGCTGCCTCTGTTGGCCACCCCTCCTCAGCCACCACGGGCCTGGGGCACTTCAAGGGCCAGAGCACCCTGCCTGCCCCAGGCAAGGTGAAGGGATCTGCCTCTGGAGGGGCCATGTGCCTGTCTTTGGAGCAAACACTTGGCCCTTGGAAGGGAAGATGCATGTTAGGGACTCCAGTGAGCCCACTTCTTGCCCCAGAGCTGGCATGAAGAACTTGTTGTCCCTTCTAACACTGCTGTGCCTACAGATGCTGTTTAGTGCCTTTCTCTCCTCTTTGCCCTCCCCCCTTTGGTAGAGACTGTTACCTCCAGGCTTAGCTGCTGTCAGCTTTCAGCTATTGGTGAAGTTTGTTCAAGATAGCAGAGAGAGACCCAAGAAGCAGGGGCTTCCTGCCAGGATGTGGATTTCCACTTAACAGTGGAACAGAGGGACTTAAAAGCATCTTACCTAGCCTTAGCTTTTTATAGATACTCATAGAAAATACCAGGTATAGAGTGCACATCACACATGTAGTTCCCTCCCATGCTCACTGGTGTACTTTCCTTGTCCTCACACAGTGGCCAGGTATTGGGCAAACCTGTGTATTTTGCTGTAGCTATGCATGTGCAGGTCTCGTGTACAGATATATTTATGCATGCTCTCATCCTCCCAAGTTTGGTTGCATTAAACTAAAGTTCTGCCTTGGTTTGTAGAGAAAGGCAGAAATTATTTATTTATTCATGTGTGTGTGCACGTGCATATGTGAAACTCCTGAAGCATTCCCAGCAATCTACATGCCTTTTTTTGCTTGGAAGAGGTACAAGCTGCTCGCTGGCTTTCTGAGAAGTCTTTAAAGTTCATGTTCTCCTTGAAGACGATGTGAGATTTTATTGTCATGTTTGAAAGCTTCAGTCTTCTCTGCAGATTGCATGCAGATTGGCGGGGGGGATATTTGGCTATAGCTCCTCTCCTTCCCTTTCCCCAAGAGCTGCTGCTTTAAAAGGTCTTCAAAAGGGCACCTGCAGGTTTGTGAACGCAATGTTGTGCCCGTGTGCATCAGCCCAGCAGTGCCAATGCAGGACGTGGCTGCGACACCAGTGGTTGATGCAGTCTGTATGCACCTTATTGTTGGTTCAGAGCCTTCCTTCCTGGGACGGGCTTGTGCAGAACGGGGAAGGAAATTTTAGAGGTCAGGTGAAAGTCTCGGGTTGAAACATTTGGTGCACGCTTCTCTGTCGTGGTACTCGTCCTGGCTTTGTGGTGGTGTGCTGGGTGTTCATACACTGCATTATAATGCCCTGTGAAAATGTTTTTCCAGGAAGTCTCGAGGCATTTATTAGCTGTTGGCTGGTAATGGCCAGTGCCCGTCGTAGCCCCCGTAACCTGAGCAGCATGGATAGCACCAAAAGCTGGCTCAGTTAATTTTTTCTCCATTGTGTGAATGTTTTTTTCCCCTTTTGTGTCTGTGTTCTCAGGATTTCTACTTCTGGCCTCTGGTCCTGTTACAGGGAGGGGGAATAACTCTTGCTAGTCTGCTAAGAGATCTAGGAGTCTCCACTGCTGCTACCCCGTCAGAGACATGCCCTGTTTTCTCAGTAGTAGGTATCTCTAAAGCTGCAGCAGCATATGTGTAGCTCCCCTTTCCTGCCCTATAGAATCCCCTGAAGCTGGGCTCCTGTGGACATCTCAGCCACACTCATACCCAGGGACTTGACCATTGCTCTTCTGTTCTGAAATCCTGCTCAGCTCCAGATTTGATCCTCTAATCTAGAGGTATAAAGATGGGCTTATTTAACAGAGCCATTTCCTTAGCAAGTCTCCAGGCCTCGATGTTATTTAGCCTTAGAAAGCCAGTGTTGAGCACTGGTCCTTGTGAGCTGTAAGTTATGCCCAGTACGTGTTGTGTGTCACAAGTGCTGCTTTTCCTCTGTACCAGTAAGCATCAGAACTCTGAATTTCCTTCTGCTTTGGTGTAGGAGGCATTGTGCTGCTGGAGTAAATATCCTTCAGTCAGACATGGCTTTACTGCACTCTGTACTCAGCTGAGCAGGCTGCGAGGAGGATTTGGCTGGGCATGTGCTCCAGCTCTGCACACCTGATGGGGTGGCTGCCCTAGACCAGCTGCTCTGCATGCAGCTCCCTGGGAGGTGGGCTTCACTAAAAGGGAATTAAGGTTGGAGCTGGTAAGAAAGATTCCTGTAAATTAAATGAATGCCTTCCACAGTAGGTCTAGGACATAAGGAGAGGTGTAACTCAAAGTATCATTTTCCTAGTTAGTGCTAAAAATACCCTTGCTAGGCTGTCTGTGAGACGCACTGGGGTGAATAGCCATGATCGTCTTTCCAAGCCACCGTGATGGCTATTACCTTCATGCTCAGCCAACACTGATAATCTGCTGTCTTCATTTCTGTCCTCACTGGCCGTTACAGCTCCGGCAAGGACAGGTCTCCATGTGCTAAGGCTGGCCTAAGCATGTTGGTTAATGACATCTAAAAACCAGGATGCCTGGAAGCAGCAGCAGAACCATCTGGTCTCCCGTTCTGTGTCCTGCAATACCTTGAGCACTGCTTGTGTTTGAGGCGGTTGAACTTTCGCTGCCTCTGTTGGTTTAAAGTCTTGAGTTGCTTGGAGAGGGGAAAGCAGTGCTCCTTGTTCAGGGTTTGTGTCTGGGCTGGTGCCAAGGGGTAGTTCTGCTGTGGTGGTGGGTGCTGCCAGTGTGCTGAAAAGTGGCTATCTGCTCTTACGTACAAGGGGCAGTGTAGTTTTGTGGCTGTGTGTAACTGTAGGGTCCTGCACTCACAAAAGATGCTGTTCCAGGGGTACATTTGGTGTAATTAAAGAATAATACCAGCAGCAATGCCCAGTTTTTGTCCTGATGTTACAAGCAGCAGCCTCGCTGTGTGTCTGCTGCCTTCCATGGCTCACCAGCTGCAGCAGCTGGATGCAGAGCTGCAGATGCAGTGGCGAGCCTTTGATTTGTTCAACTTGCAGCTTCTCCCATGACTTAGTCATTCTTTTATGAAGTGCAGCCAGAGTTCCGCACAGAGCAGGCACGTTCCTGCAAGAGCTTTCCAGCAGCGAGTCGAGTTGTGTTGTTTGGGTCTCCTGTTGTCCCCCCCTGGAAACACAGTCATGTAAATACCCCACGTGCTGTGGGCAGAGCTCCAGTGAGGACAAACCTCTGTGCTCCAAGGTTGGATTAGGAGCATGTTCGGATAATGACATCTGAAAACAGGATGGCTGGGAGCTGCAGCGGAGCAACGAGGGGGCTTTGAAAGAGAGAGGAGTCTAATCCTCTCTGCTAATAAGGAGGCAGCTGCTGCCAATGCATCAGGCTTGGCAAGCGCTGCTCTGCTGCTCCTGGGTGCTCTGATGGTGGCAGGTGCAAAGACACAGCTGCTTTGAGCTAGGAGGGGAAGAGCCACACGGGAGGGGTTGTCTTTGCTTTCTGTGGGTAACACAGGACCTTTGACATTGCTCTTTCCCCATCCCCAACAGCACTTTGGCAGGACAGGCAGCAGAGCCGCGTTCCATGCCAGGAGCACCGCAGAGGCCGTGAACGGGGTTGGATGCAGCCACCAGACACCTGCTGCTGGTGCAGCACCAGTTGCATTTCCATGGCACTCAAGCCCAGCCTTACTCAGAAGGCAGCTGAATGTGTGTGGGTCTGCGGCTGCACATGGGTGTTTGCAGTGTTTGTGCCTCACCAGTGGAAGAACAACTCTGGGCAGGGTGGAGAGCATGGGGGCAACACAGGGCAGCTCTTGTGCAGTTATGTCTTGGTACGTGGACAGGTTTCCACAGAGACCAGCGGGATACGTGCTGGCAATGTCTTCCTCCAAGGGGTGAGTGCTTGGGGACATGCTGGTACCTGGCAGGTACTGTGAATGCAACTGCTTTAGAGCACATGAAGTGCTCCCAGCAGCCCTGAGTCCCCAGACTAATGTGGATCTACTGCGTCGTTCAGAGCAGGGATGCTGGTGATGAAAGACTGCTCTAACCCCACCTCCAGTGTGGAAGTGCCCAGGTCTGGGAAGAGCCTTGGCTGGGATGTTGGGGACCAGCTGCATTGAGCACGCAGTGGTTTTATCTAACCTGTTGTTCCTTTACAGTCAGCATGCACGCTTGCTGGGTCAGTGGTACCAAGCAGTATTGTCCCACTGTGGCTGTCAGGACACCCTCTTGCTGGACAACAGTCATCCCAGATGGCAGTCACTGTATGCAAGTTTCTGCAGCAGGAAAAAGCAATGGAGTGGCCAGGTAAGGAATGCTTTCCTTCAGCTCATTGATATGTGGCATACAGCTTTACACGTTCCTGTTAAGTTCTGTCAAAGCACAGAGCTTCACATTGCATTTTAGTGGAGATTAGTAGATTTATTAGCCCCACCCCTTCTATGCAGACAGGCTGTTTCATTCATGCTCCTCATCTCTCTTTTGTTAGGGCAATACTGAAATTGATTTAGTGGGCTTTGAATGTCACTGTAAGGTTTCGAGTGGGCGGGAACAGCAAGCACAGTTCCACCATGGATCCCCATCACCACCCGGAGTTTGCAGGCCAAGGTAGGAAGGGAAAAGTCAATCTGATTCTAGGTCCCAGTTTAGCACATTGTGGAGAAGCATCAGGTTTATCAAGGGCTGTGGTGAGCGCTTCAATTGAAACTATAGGGCTGCTTAGAAAGCTTGAGGTCAGAGTCTGTAGCAAGACCACTCAGCTCCCATTGCACTTGGCACTAGCGCTAAACCAGGGGCTGTTCTGATGGGTGCAGGGCCCTGACTAGGCTTTAAAAGACCCAAAGTGCTCCAAGACTTGTTAGCTGTTAGACAAATACATCACCTCCTCAATGAAGAAGACAACTTGATCGCTTAAAACGTTGGGTTGTTTTTTTTTCCAGTTTTTATTGAGTGAAAATGTCAAACCTTGCATCAGTCATGCAAAAAAAAATCAAATAAATAAAACACATATATTAAATTTCTAATAGCACTAAATTCAAGTGGAAAAATATTCAGTTCTTAATAACGCAGGTGCTGAAGAGACCAGATTCAAGTAAATCAGAGCACACCATCCTGGTTAGGGTGTTGGGTTTTTTTTTTTCACTTTCTGCATTTTTTTGTCTCAAAACCTATATATATATCTATATATCTATATATATGTATATACATATAGATATATACACACACACATATATATGTGCATACATATTATTTTAATATTTATATATATACACATACATATTTATAAAACATTAAAAAGAGCATTGGTGGTTCAAGCATTTATTTCCCCCCCTCCCCCACGGAAAGAAAAAAAAATAATAAAACAACAACAAAACAAAAACAAAAAAAAAGACCCAAAAAAATTACACATTTAAAATTCAAAATGAGCTAGCAATGGCTTATAGTCCTAGTGTGCAATATGGAGATTACAAAAGGCTAGAATCCTCCCTCTTTGTCTTTTTTTTTTTGTCATTTTTGTTTTTTTAAAGTTATTTTTTTGCTACATTGGAAAACTTTTTTTTATTATTTTTTATTATTTTTTTCTTTTTTTTTTCTTTACAAAATTCCTTCCACACAGACTTGAATCCAGTTGAGTTTGTGGCTAGAATGAACAATCTAGTCAATAGTTTTTGATTTCATGGTTTTGTTTGCTCTTCAGCAGTGAATGGGAGCAGACTCAGGAGGGTCCTTCTCAAGGTTTGCTTTTGGTTGGTTTTTATCTTGGTTCGGACAGAACAGTTCCATTTCCTCCCTCCTCTTCCCCCTCCTCATAGGTTGTTGTCTCGCCCTCTCTTTCCCTGGTCATTCTTTAAGCACAATAGCATTGTATTAACAGTCCTATTGATATGATCACTCGAAGTGCAAACCCACCTCGCTGCAACAGGGATCTTTGTGCTGTTGAGGCCTCTGTTCAGAAAAGCACTTAAGCCTGGGCTTAAACCTGCGCCCTTCAGCCAGCATCTGCTTAAGAGTTTTGCCGAATTACAGCCTTCACATGGCAGAACAAACAGCTGGGTTTAACCTTCTTGACTTGTTGTTGTTGTGAATAGAGACATAGGAAGAGATTTACACAAACAAGACTTGGAGAACGTGGAGTAAGATGTGTTCTGGGGGCATGGCCAACCTGCTGGGGGGCCACTGTCCTGTGAGGGGGCCAGGCCCTGTGCTGGGGTTGCATTTAGCAGTAGCCTGTTGGGAAGGAAATGTCATTCCCTGTGCCGGCTCCTGGAGAAGAGGTGATAAAAGTTGGGGAGAAAGGCTGAGATGTCAAGAAGTAGGATGCCTTGGGGGAGAAAATGGTGTGCATAGATCAACACAGGCCCTTCTGGCACGCTGAGCCACACAGAGGACTTGTGAAACAGGGCCCCGTCAGTGTGGATAATGGTGAGCTGCACCGGGATGATGGAAGGAATGTTCAGTGCCAGCTGGAGCGGGCAGAGCTACTGGTAGCTGTTACCCCTTTTCTCCACACACCTCTGCTCTCTCCCACTGCTGTGCAGTGAGTCAGTGGAGTCTGGTGAGGTACGAAAGGGGAGAGGTAAAACTGCTGTGTCACAGTGCAGGTTCCCAGCTCCTACCAGCCAGGAAGCAGCCTGGCTCTCCTGAAGGGAAACCAGTGGCCCAGGGAGCCCTGAGCCTCGCCACTGAAACCAGCCTCCCCCTCGCCTTCAGCGTGAGCACCTCCCAGGCAGGTTGTGTGCAAACCTGGCAGGATGCTGTCTCCAAGGCAGTCGGCTCGATCCTGCCTTCCACAGAAGTCACTGATACACACGATGACTTCAGTGGTACAGAATAAACACATCTGGTTTGCAAGATGTGGCTTGTGTTACATCCAAGGGATTCCTCCTGGAGCCCATCACCATGCTATCGAAGTACTGACTGTGGGGAAAATGTACAGAACCTGCAGCAAATGCTGTTAAAGTAAAATCGTTTTGCCCCATCCCCTGTAGAAATTCCAGGGCCTCGTCCCCTCACTCTGCCCCAGGAACATGAGCTTCATCCTAGTCAAGAATCAGGTTGTGCTAGAAAACACAGAGCTGAGGGCAGGGGATATACCAAACAAAACAAAACCAAACAAACAAAAAACCCCTATAAAAACAAAAGCCACACAAATAGCTGACAGCGGAAAAGAACTCCAAAAGAATTAAATAAACTACAACCTACCAATACCAATAGTTCATTTGTTTCCATTGGTTTCATCTCTTACAAAATTCAAGTTACAAGTCAGAATCGTGCAGCTCCGCTCAGTGCTGGGAGGGTGAAGTCAGCCTCAACCCATAGCATTGAGGCCCCCCTCCCCTGCCCCCCCTCCAAACAAACACTACATCGAAGGGAAAAACAAAGGAAAAAAGGTAAAAATTAAAAAAAAGAAGAAAAAAAAAAGAGAAAAAATGAATTGCACACAATAAACCGTATCTAAGGGCTGGCCAGAGGGCAGGTGAGCCCCAGCCCCTGGCGTCGGTGGCTTCTCCTTTGTTCTATCTCTAGCAATAACCTTTACAGGAAAAATACTGTACAACTGCTGGTTTTTATCTTTTTTTGCTTTTTGCAACATTCTCTGCACGTTCTGTCCCCACACTGACCCAGCCCAGCTGCTGCCTTCGAGCCAGGCCTGAGCCGCACCACGTCCTTCGGGAAAGAATTAAAGGGAGGAAAAAACCCCAACCTAAACTTCTCGAGGCCTTTATCTGTTCACAGGGGGCGAAACAGGATCCCTTGGAGCTGGGGGGGGGGGCCTGCATGGTGGCAGAAAAAAAGAAGTAGGTATTTTATGCAAAAAAGGGACAAACTTCAGATACCAGGAACCTTCCTAGGCTGGAATACTTACAAACTGGCACTGAAATAACTAGCAGTTAATTCATACAGCTAGTCCTTCTGGAGCCCAGCTGTATGGAGACACAAGCCCTCTCTCAGACTCGAGTCAAACAGCTACTGTCTCACCTGCCAGAGTCCAGGCAGTATCCTGTAGTGTGTGTTCCCAGCCTGGGCTGGGGAAAGAGAGCAGGGAAGAGCTCATCACCAGAGGAAGCCCAAGCCGCTGGATGTGGCAGGTTTCAACACAGTACAGTTGCATTGGCTTATGCAGTGCCCAAGCTATTGGCCCTACTTGTCAGGATTTATCAGCATGGCACCAGAAATACTTTAAGTCTTAGCTGGATTACACCTGCCCTCAGCTTCGGTTCTCGGTGCTGCATGGGTTGCAGCAGCCTCGTGTTTTGCAGCTGCAAAAACCATGATGGGGCCAATAGCTACAGACCAGCAGTGCTCCTCCTCCCACCTAGTCTGAGCAGGACATCCCACAGTGGGGTCCTGAATGTGTGCTGCCTTCTCCTCCCTCTTCAGCAGTGCCTTCACCCTCTCCCAGAGTCAGCAGAACACTGAGGCCATGCAGACAGACGACAGGCTTGCCCATCCATGGTGGAAGGCTGGGGACGAGGGCTTGGGGACCGGGGACATACCTGTCACTGCACAGCTGCTTGGTCAGAGAGCAAGTAGTTTTCAAGGCTGCTTTAACGGCTTAGGATGCTCTTCTGTGAGCAGGGTGCTCCCTGTGCTGCACTGTGGGACAGTGTCAGCTCACAGCCTCCTGAGATGGGGATACTGAAGCACCACAAAAACGCCTCACCCTCAACAGAGAGGAAGCTCCTGGGAGTTGGGATGAGATGGAACTGGATTGAGATTAACCCCAGTCCTCCAGTGTGACAGACCCCTTAACCGCCTGCTGTGCTCTTCCCAAGTTACTTCAGCTAGATTCCCTACAGGCAGAACAGCAGGGATGAGGAGAGGTGTCCTACAGAGAAAGTAAGTGTAGACTGAGAAAAGTTTTACAATATAAATAGCATTCAAAATTATTATCATTAATAGTAAAAAGGATCTGGAAGAACAGAGGAGTGTCCCATTCCCACCCCTGCTCACTCATTAATGCGTCCTCATTTATGTGACAATAAATACCCGCTCCCACCCTTGCTGCCTGATGCCATTCATTTAATGCTGGAGAAAGAAGGGGGGAGGGGTGGAGAGAGAGAGAGAGCAAACACCCCTTACCCCTCCTTCCCACCCGCAAAGCTGAGCTACTTGTCCTTGTGACACCAATTCCTTGCGTGTTATATATGTGTGTGTGTGTGTACGTTATACAGAGAGACACACACACAAATATATAGTTCTAAAATTCATTACCTGTTGTTCCCACCCACCCCCCTCCAAGAAGTGGAGATTATTATTAATATCGTACAACTGAAAACATGGAAAAACAAAACCCGGAAAGAAACATGGGGGGATAGAGCCCCACCCATAACAAAGGGTCCCCAGATGGGCACAGGCCCCACGCACCATGCAGGGAGCAAGGAAAAGCAGCTGGTACCCTCAAGGTTCATGTCCATGTAGAAGGGAGGTTCATGCTGCTTCCTGCCCCCATGTTCTCTGATTGCAGAATGAAGGGATGCAGCACCAGTCCTGCTGCCAGCCTGTCTCTTACGGGGCCTGAGGAGGAGCGTGGGTTTCCTTCCTTCCTCTCTCTCTTGTGTGTGTGGCACGGAGTTTGTTTTCCACTTGCCATCCCAATCTTTGTTCTTGCCTCATATGGGGTCCTCTTAGTAATTCTGTGTAAGAGCAAAACCAAACCACTGCCACCCTTGTCTCTAAGATTAAGGAGAAGCTGCTGGAGCAACAGTAGAGGCTGGGGCAGCAGCTGGAGCTGGAGCAGGAGTTGGAGCTGGAGTAAGGGCTTCCTCGCCCTGTGGCCTGGAAGCATCGCCCTGATCTGTGGAAGAAGCAGCCTCCTCTGGTTCTCCATCTTCTTTAGTGGCCAGGCCCTCAGGGTCAGGCAGCGATTCCTCAGAATCTGTGTTCAGGTCTTCCTCTTCATCATCATCTTCATCATCATCATCATCATCATCCTCTTCATCATCCTCCTCTTCTTCATTCATTTCTTCCTCATCATCCTCTTCATCCTCTTGGGAAGAGTCATCCTCGTCCTCCACATCACCGGAGCCAGATGCCACTGCCCCCCTCTCCTGAGGTGCAGCCCCGGCTCGGCTCGGTGATGGACCTTCAGTGACTTCTGACTGCTTCTTGCTGAGGTCCAGGGAATCATTGAGGCCCACACCAGCTGCGTTCTGCAGGAAGAAGAGGGAGCTGTTGTTGTCAGTGCTGAGGTTGAGGGAGCTGTCCAGGTTGATGGAAGAGTTCTGGATGTCGTACTCAAGAGTGGAGTGGGCAAGGCCCTCGGGGCCAGGAGAGATGGCAGGAAGCTCCCCTCGCTCCTGCTTCTCATGTTTGCGCTTGTGCGAGTCCATCTGTGACATGCCCACCACTGTGTGTTTGCAGCCAGGGTAGGTGCAGTGGAAGTGGGAGCACTTGAGTTTGTACTTGCAGTCAGGCACCTCGCAGTCCACACTGGAGCTGAACTGGCAGAAGCCAGCAGCACTGATGACGTCCTGCTTGCCGTGGTGCTTACGGTGGGCTGTCACCTTAGTGCTGTCAGTGCAGCGGAAGCCACAGCGCAGACAGTGGAAGTGTGTGCTATTGCCAGAGAACTGACAGTCTGGGAAGTTGCAACTCAGTGAAGACTTGAAGCGTTTGAAATCATCCAATACCAGGTTGTCAACACGATCGTGATGCTGGGCGTGCTTGTACATGTGGGTACGGCCACAGAACTTGTAGCCACAATTCTCCCGCGTGCAGTGGTAGTGGGTAACCTTGAGAGAGAATTGGCAGCTGGAGTCCTTGCAGTCCTCGTAGAGGTCATAGCGCCGAAAGCCCTCCAGCATCATCCCTTCGTCCAGCATCTTGCGGGAGGATGCAGTCTTGCGGCGCTTGCCAAATGGGGACATGTCCTCAATGATCCAGAAACGCTTTTTGGCCCCTGAGGCAGTTGGCATAGTGATGGTATTCCCTAGGGAGAAAAAGCAGAGTGGTGTTGCTGACAGCCGGGTCTCCCTTCATGCCCCAACCATCCTGTCAAGGTCTGTGTTGCCAGGGCACAATGCTGCAACTGCTCCCACCCAGCGGCTCAGCCCTCAAAAGCTCTACGGAAGCCTGAGCTCTGGGAATGTGGGCTGGCTGATGCCTGTTGGGACATCGCTTTCTCAATTTCCAGCATATCCCACCTTGTCTCTAACTGGTGCTCCGGTATACCTGACACTGTGCAAATGCTGATGATTGCGTCTCTGTTTTGTTACTCTCTCAGTTTCTTCTGCTGCTTAGTTAATCTCTAGTCCTATTTTCCTAAAGTCAGGCTTTAATACAGAGGAGCTGTCTTGTTCCAGTCCAAGGCCTGAGGTGTGTTAACTGGACTGAAGTGGCAGAAGAGTTTAACATGCTAAAAACTGGTATGTGTATACTATCCCCTATCCAGGCTCTTGTAACACACTGCAATTGCCAAGGACAGGGAGGAAGTGAGGAAGGATCCCATGCGTGATTAAAACTGCAAGGGGGGGAATTTATAGAAATAGGATGGACTTTGGCCAGGAGACTGCAACATCCCTCACTGTAATGAGCCTACATATTACGATGAGTGCACTTAGAAAGACAGATGGACAGATGTTCAATGGGGCTAATTCTCATCATCACTAGCCAGTGGACTCTGAGAGAAAATACCAGTTCTGCAGCTTTCCCTTGGGTCTCAAAAATCACATGATGCCCCTAGTAAATAAAGAGCCCTCATCCATCTTCCACTTTCATTCACAGGGCCAGCATAACTGGCTAGTGCTCACGTCCCCTAGGATCACGCTGACATCAAGGACTCGACCTCATTATATCTATTAACTTTTTTTTCTTCCCTGCTTGCTGTTTCCAGAATCAAACCACAATCTCCAGTATCAACATGCAGCACAGACGAGGTTGGAGGCAAGAATTTCTCACCAGGTGCAGAACTGTGAGTGTAATTGGAAATTATAGCTTGAAACTAAAACATACTTTTTTGTTGTTGTTGTTTTGCCTCTCCTCATGCTGAAACTGCCATCCTCTGAAAAAGAGGCATGATTTGTGACACACAGTGCCTGGGGCCTGAAAACCCAGAGCAGCTTGCATCCTTGTCTAGGCAGCTGAAGAAACACTCATCTCTTTGACTGTTGTAGAACTGTTTTCTTTTCTGGCTGATAAGCAGGTATTAAATGTGATGAATGCTATTTTTGCCACATCTGGCCCTTCCAAAGACAACCCTTCTAGAGAACGGGAGGATATCATTGAAGGAAGCCTCCAGAAGTTAAACTGGGGCTGTACTGAAAGGCAGAAGTCAATGAAATGGTAGCAGCAACCTAATCCCTTTGGTGGCCCTTGGCATGGCTGGGCTATACAGGCTGCAGGGTAAGCAAGGAACAAAAGACTTTTCCACACACATTCACTCTATGGCACTTCTGCTCGGGCTGCAAGTAAAGCCACCAGCTTGGGGCATCCCTGGTGAGACCATCTTAGTGACACGTGGCTGGTGGAATCTGCATGTTAAGGCAAATTTAACCAGCTACCAGTGAAAGAATAACTTCCTGTCACTGTGGATTTTAAATTAGCAAGCTTTAGCTACAGAATCTGTGACCAATTAACTCTGCTCTCCCCAGAAACATCTGGTATTGTAAATCTAGTTCTCTGCTTCCAGGGCACCAGTGTAAGTGCATCCCTGCCTGGACAAACCACTGCTATCCAGATCAACCCCTGCTTTAAAATCAGTTACAGCCAAGTCATCAAGTCTTTTATCCTTGGTATGAATGCTCATCTTGTCTGGCTCCAGACAGCAATATGGGATAAGCCATCTTAGGGAAAAGACTCTGCATGGGAAATAAGTATAATGTAGATTTTACCTGTTCTAAGCTCAATGTGTCGCCCAACTTTTACACCAGTTCAAACAGATGGGCTCAAAACTTAGTGAGACCAATTCTGTTTCCTCAGACAGGCAGTTTCAGCACAAGAGCATGGGAAAGAGCAATGAGAACCTGGTACACCCTCCTGCGTTAGCCACCAGACAGTGTTCAGTCCCTAGCACCCAACTGAAGATTTATAAGCCTCAGCAACTGTAAGCCCAAGCAATTCTCAATGGTAAGTGCATTCCATAAGCTGGTCTTTTCAACTACTAATAATGCAAACATCCACAAAACTATATAAAAATAAAAAGAAACTTAAAAATGTATCATTAGAGGAAAGGACAGCACAAGCCTAAAATGTTTCAAATTCATGCAAATCACTGAAGAAAAAATAAAGCAAAAATACAGTTTCTTGTGAATTTTGTTCACTGGAACACACTCCTCTGGACAGGGCAAAGGATCCTTCTCCTGCCACATCCATGAGTAAAATCCATGACCTTCAAAGCGGAGCTGGCCCTCCAGCCACGCTCCCAACCATTTACCTTGGATTTGCTCATTACTAAAACTGGCAGGAAGAATGACTGGGACATTTGTAGGCTGCCAGAATCCTCTTCAGTGTGAACTTTAAGCACAAATATGCCCTTAATTAACTAGAAAAGAGCTGGGAGTTGGGAAAAGCCAAAACCGAGACACACCCTAAAAACCATTCCCAGCTGGAATGAGAATCCCCAGCCTGAGACATCTCTGATCTTAGTCACACATGGGAAACATGGCAGCTTAAAACTAAAAATCTCGATGGATTTTCTGCAGCTGTTAAGAGCAGATATAAATAACAGGGAGTGTGAGAATCAGCCTGAGCTGTCTGATGATGTCATCACAGTGACACTGTTCTTACTCTGTTACTGGTGCTGGGGAGAGCAGCCCTGAATCTTATGGCTTCATGTAGCGACAGGAAGCAGTGAAGTGTAAAAGATCAATAAAAACAGGGGAACTGGGTACCTGCTATGTGCAGCAGACTATGGTAGTTATGGTGTTGGGTGGCCTGGAAGAGCTAAGCAAGAATCCCATGTCCCATTAATGCTACATGAGCAAAAGTTTCCTTTATGGCCACCCTGCTGTTACCAAGAGGCTGAAGGTGCATGTTAACTCTGCATTTTGTTAGGTTTTCTCCTCATTTGGCACTGGTGGCAGTTTCTCTCAGGTGGATACCTGATGTGTCTCAGTGGTTTGCTGTGGTTTTGGTTACCCTGTGTAGCTCTGGCTACTGTGTCAGCAGACAAAAGGAGAGGTGTGGAAGGGCCATGGATAAAGTTAATTAAGACACAGAGTGATGTATGTTTTGGTGCAGAGAAAACGTGGGCAGGGTGAGTGGGGAAGGAGATGGGCAGAGGACACCAAGAGAGAAAGCAAAGAAGTGTTACCTGCTGCATCCTGAACTAAGGGAACGTCACTTTTTACTGGAGTTGGAGTGGCAATGATGGGCGAAAACCCAGTGGTGCTGGCGGTAGGCATGACAATGCCTCTGCTGGATCCAAGAGTGGCACTGAGCAGAGAGTATGAGAGACAAGATGGAGAGAAGAGATAGGGGAGGGTGGGAAGGGGAGACCTAAGCAGGGCTTGTGAGAAAGATGGAGGCAGAGATGGTGGTTGAGGTTGTGGTGCAGTATGGGTACCATCATCGGCAGCAGCAGTAGCAGTAGAAGGAACCAGGCAGCCTGGAGAATGTGGAGAGAAAAAAAGCAGAAAAAAAGGAGAAAAAAACCCAAACCAAAGCAACAAAAAATAAAACAAAAAAACCCAAACCAAAACAAGAAACAAAAGAACTGAAACAAGAACCCAAGAGCAGAAGCAATATGATGAAAATGGAAAATACATTCACAAATGTATGAAACAGAACTGTAACAGAGAAGAAACAGAAGGTGAGGAACTGACAGCATCAGGAAGAGGAGGGTTGTCTCTGCACAAGGCACGGTGGCTTTAATGGGTGGCACCGGGGGAAGATTCCTTGTTCATGTACATAGTGCCAGCTCATACAACTGACAGCTGCAAGGCTGGTCTTACACTTTGGGTGGGTGGTGTTGCTCCCTGGATAGCAGCTGGGGGCTGTGTCCCAGACAGTTACTGACAGAGTGCCAGGAACCACTGTCCCACCAGGACTTGGGGGGACCTTTAATGCCATGGGACAACCACAGTCGTGACCCAGCAGGGTTCACACATGGTCAGGGATAGGATAACCTTTATCTAACTGGTATGGGAAAGAAAAGCAGGGAAATGTTACAAAACTAAAGCAAGCTCAGTGAGGCAGCCTATGTAGAATCCCCCTTAACCCTGGGAAGGGCAGCTAAGAGATCCCCGGATCACCACTAGATGATAATAGAATTCATAAAAGCTATCTGACTGCTGAGAAGATAACCCCCTAGCAAAGGGCAGTGGGAGATGGCTACACATTAACCTAGCAAAAAGAGGGGATGATGGAGGTCTCTTCTGAGCAGCACTGCACAGAGTGGGAGCAGGGATGCTCAGTGAGCTGCTTTTATGTGTTGCTTTCTGAAGATGTGGTAGTGTTTTTTCCCCTGTGTATACAGTATTTGCTATTGTACAGTCTTTCTGTACCTCAGCTGTATAGGAAAGTGCCTGACTTCAGATGCTGCACAAGGAAATACATAAAGATACCAGGGGAAATGCCAAGTACAGAAAAGGCCCAGAACTATTTTTCTTATCCTCTTATCCAAGACAGAGGATAAAAACCTCTCTTCAGAGGAGAAAAGATACGCTGTTAGTTCATGGATGCTTGAGGTGTGCATTTTGATGGATCTCTTCTCAGAAATGGTGGAGGGAGCCAGGTTAGTATGAGGCACTACTGTGAAGCTGGTACAGGTCATGTTTTAAGACGCAATTGTTCTTTGGCCTCTTCCTGAGTTTATCTGCTGAGAGCAAGCAGGCAACTGAGGATCCATTTCACCCCACCCCTTCTCTCTTACCTGCTGATGTACTTTCGTTGCCCACTGGAGTGCTGGAGCAGCTGCGGTCCATATTGGAAGATTCAGAGGAAATACCCCCAGGGCTGCAGCCAGTGTAATCCATGTACTCATCTGTTTCAGTGTCCATCATGCTTGGGGGTCCCTGAAAGGAAGCTGGGGTTCCTGACGAGGCTGGGCTGGGTGCCATGCTGCCAACCTGGGGGAGATTTTCACTTCTTGGAGTGTGGCCAATAACCTGCAGCAAGAGCACAGGACGGGGACTTTCACACCAAAAGCAAGATGCCAAGACCAAAACCATCTGTCTGCACGTTTATTTCCCTCTGTCACAGTTCAGGAGGGATAGCTGGAACACACCCGTGAGTGGAACCCATGGCACAGTGGCTGGGAGAGTGAATCTTCCTTCCCTGGGACCTCAGAGCATTAAACTTGGCACATGGATCCCGGTATGTGAATTGTGATGTGCTCAGAGGCTGGGAGCGTTAATCTTGGCACCAGCATCCTGGTGTGTGGATTCCAATGCATTCAAAAACAGGAGGTGTTAATCTTGGCATTGCTACCTTACTGTGTAGGTCCTGCTGCATTTAGAGACTGGAAATACGACTGCGGACACGACTCTCCTAGTGCCTGCATGCTGAGACACTGCAACAGGAGGCTGAAACCAGTGATGGAGGTGTGTGCTGTGGTCATGCACAGCTGCTCTGGCCTGGCCTGGCCATCTCTGGTTACCTGGGAGGTAGCCAGCAGCACTGGACAGCCAAACTCACCACTAAGGCATGGGGAAATACGGAGGTAGAACACATGAATGCACAAAGGCAGAGCAGTGATCTGATTAGCTTTGCCACATGCTCTGATATGTGCTTTCATCCCTGTTTTGTTTGCTGGACTGTTCTCAGTTACGTGTTAAGAGAAGATGCAACTGCATCGCTCTGCTGCTTCCTGAGAGAGGACAAGGAGCGCCCTAAACTAACTCCAAATCAATAAGGGAAGAAAAATGTCAAGATTGGTATTTCTCCCATCCTAGGTGGAAGCAGCAAATAATTCTTTATGTGCAACAGGAAATGTTTGCTTTAACCAGCATGTTCAATTCTTCCACATCCTAAGCACTTCATTTTAATAAACCAATTGGTGTATATTGAGAGAGCAGGGAGGGAGGGCAAGTTGTAGTTTTAGTGTTCTCCATTTCTTATCTCCATAATTCACAATGAAAAGCTGTTTACACTAAGTAATGCTTTGATGTCTATGCTTCCTCTTATTGTGCAGTCCAACCAGGTAAAAGTACCTTGGGTGAACTCACGTATCCCTGCTGCATCCCCCAGTGCTATATTTATCTGCATTTGAGAGAGTCTGGGTACAAATGTCTAAGGCAGTTCTGGAGCAAGCAACCAAAGGGACCGATATTACATGCACATCTAGAGCTTAAATAACTAGTGAGTCACCTGAGTAGGAACACGATCAAAGTTCTTCCCCAGCATCCTTCTCATGTGCTTTCTGGCGTGGGATGTCATTTGGTGCTTGAGCAGGAAGGAGAACTGGCAGCCTTCACGAATGCAGTGGAAGTGGCTGTTCACCTGGTTGTATTTGCAACCTACAAACACAAAACCATCATATGTAGTACATGGAAAGTATCAAGAAGGAAAGGGACTGTAGGGAAGATGATCTGGAAACGGGACACGGCTGCTGCTACATGGATTTCTAGTGCAAGACTATCAGTGGTCATGGGTTCTTCAGGAACAGTCTTGAATGAGACAAAACATGGTATTTTGCATGCTGAGCAACTGCAGGAAAGGATTACAGTGCACACAGGTTTAAGAAGTGAGACTGGTCCCATCCTGCTTCATTTTGTTGTAAAGAAAGGAACATTACTATTACGTCTACTAGTGCCTAACACTCTCCAATCTTAGCTAGCACCTTTTCCTTTACAAAGAGAACAGAACCAAGACATTTAACTGTATTGTGGAGGTTACAATCAAAAATACATGCTCAGATTGGAAATGAGAAGTTCTTTTTCTCTTTTTCCCTCTAACTATGCTCTCAGTACAGCAGTCTCATCAGTGCTGGCTCTGGACAGTCTATGCTCTCTGGTCAGATAGAAATGAGCCAGGAAGTGTTTACTGCTACTCCAAATCTGTTGTGTAATAGGGGCAGCTACTCAGCAACAAGCAATTTCTATGGGTTCTGGCATCCAGTATGTGACACGTTTTGTGCCTCGTGGATCGTGCCGTGCATGCCAGGAGTTTGTGTATCTCATTAATGGACAATCCTCAACAGCCACATTCTATAGCTGACAGATAATGGCTTCTTATAGTTAAAACACAGCTCTATCAGGTTCTGTCTGTTCTCCATCATCCCTTGGCCATACCCTTACAGACCTGTACAGACCTACAGACAGGCTCAGTTTTACTCATGGAGCTACACCCATCCCCCTGTACTTACACGTGGGTATTTTTCATTTATCTGTTTCTTCCTCCCCATCCATCCATATGTGTATGATACTTATACATGCACAAACACATGTATTAAAGAAAAATCTATTGTATATGTTTGTTCTGAAACATTCACAGCCCTTAAAGCAAGCCAGTGCTTTCTGTACCTGATGTATATATATACAGATACAGATACAGATATACACACACATAAAAAGCCTATAGATGTACAGAGGAGCAGACATGCATTTACATGTCGATATAGCCATCTAGACCTACACAAACACATCCAGCTACACCACCCCATCGTGCTGCCTGTATCTAAACAGGCAAAGGCTAAAACATATGCTGGCTAAACATGTTTATGGCATGGCAAGCCAACCTATAGGCAGATGTCCACACTGCTGGATGCACGCACCCCATCGCTCCCCAAACTAAACACTGCTGACACATGCACAGCCAAGCAGCTCCTGGATCACCCAGCCCATGTTTAGTGCTTTAGGCACATGCCAAGTTTATGTTTGTTTAGGCACTGCACTCCCCCACAGCACCACCTCATTCGCCCTCCCCATCCCGTTGTGCTGTTCTCTGGGATGGAGAACAAACAGTGCTGGCGGGACTGAAACACTATCAGCAAAGGGCAGGTGAAGGCTCGCCTGTTGCCACGGCACCCGTGTAGGCTGGGTGTCATGTATCATTGTCCTGCTTTGTCTAGCTCTTGCTATCACCTGAAACACCTAAAGTTGAGTAAATACCAGCAACTGCTGAATCTACTGACATGTGCAAATGAGACCTTGGTAAGTACTGGCCGCAGCATGTTGACACTCAGTACCCTGGTTACCACAAACAAGCTGCCATTTGGATATAAATTCTTGATGAAAAGAAAGCTGAAAAGAAAAGTCTGGTTCTGGCTGTTTCCCTGCAGTGGGAGAGAACAGCACCCAGAAGTGTTATTCTGAACCTTGGTTTGTTCCAGCTTCAGTTCCAAGGGGCTGGGTCTGTGATGCTGTTAAGCCAAAACACAAGTTGAAGGGTTAAGTGAACCTTGACAGCTCAGGACAGAGTTCTGCAGGAGCCCTCTTTAGGGATTCCCCCCAGGTTCAGAGCCCTGGCTTCCAGCTCTAGCTACCTCCCTGGTAATGCATTCCACTTTCTGTTGTTGTGTGTTTGACCAGCTTTACACTAGAGGCACTCGGATTTAATAACTACTGCCCTGCTGCTAATAGCGTTGGCAAGTGGGCAAGCCACAGTGTGAGGCTGTGCCACATCTCAGGTGTTTCCTTAGGCCGTGCTGTGGTGGGAGGCTGGTACAAAGACACAGCACTGCATTCCCTGCTGCTCACAACTGGCTGTGGAGAACGGCTTCAGAAGAGTGGTTTATGGAATGCTCTTCTTCATACCTCAGTCTCTGGTTATTTGCCCTTTGTCTTTCAATGTCCTGCCCTGGCAATGTCTAATAAAATAAAGGAAGAAGTTTTCATCTGAAGCTGCCTGGAATTAGGCAAAGCAGCAGCTTCCTTGTTGTAGGAAGACTTTCACACAAGGCACTCATCAGAATAAGCATTTCCCTTATGCCTTTTATTACTGCTAAAAGCACTCTTAAACTCCACCCAAAACAAGTATTAGGCCAAAAAGACTACAAAGTGCACAAAAAAATATCCCCAAACAAACAAAAAGGCCTTGACAGTGATCTATAAAGCAAAAACTAAGGGGAAGCTGTACTTCCAGCCAAATATATATATATATATATAAAATTCTCCATATTATTATTTCTATGCATTTAACTGGGTCTATTTGGGAAAATATGCTTCAGCTCCTGCAGATCAGGAACTGCTTTCTGTTTCATTCGCTCTCTTGTTCAGCACTTTAATGACCAAATACACCTTAAGCATAACTTGCAGGCTCTAACTCGCAGTGTTCTTAGGCGGGACATGGGACAGCCCACACGAGGAAGATGATGGGGGAAGAGAAGACAACTCACCCAGTCTGCCACACTCCTCTCGTTTGGTAAAATACTTGAAGCCATTGGCTGCCCTTCTCTCTGCCTTCTCATGTTTTTTCACATGCCAGGGCAGCTTGGTGGTGATGTTAGTCACGAAGTAGCAGCCAGGACGAAGACAGTGGTAATGCCCTCGCATCCTGAATTCACAGTGCTGGAGAGGAGCAGACAGGTCGTTTTAAGCACATCTAAACCAAATGCACTCCCATCTGCTGCTACTGATGCTGTCCCTCTGAGACATGAGAGGGCCCTGAACTCATACTCTAGATCCCATCCGTGTTATCTTCCACAAGCTGCAATACAGCTGTGCTCCCTGTCATGTACTTTGTATTGCCATTGTGCTTTCTGCATTACATTGTTCTACGCTGAGATACCCCAACCCTAACTTGTGGCTTTCCCTGGTATCCATCATAGACTTTTATTGTATTTCATTTTGTGTCTCAGATCATTCTAGTTACCTTGTCCAGTTCACCCAAGCCAAGGAAACATCCAAACACCTGCAGTATGTTAGAAACCAAATATTTTGCTAGCCCCTTCCATGGTTGTGTAGTTAGAGCAGGAATGAGACACTCCACCTCACTTCCTGTTGAGCAGTCTACTTGCTCTTTCTCATTCTTCTCCCACACACATACTTCAGGGTGGAACATTGCTTTTGAACTGCTCTTACCTGGTTTGGACAGAGACACTGCAGTGAATAGTAAGCAAACTGGTCTCGCACATTCACCAGATTATTGTTGGGGTTGATGTGGTCCAGGCAGTGGGATTCTGCTTTGCCCGAGGTTTTGCACACGTACTTGCAGTTCCCAAAGAGACAGTGGAAGTGGAATTTGTTGGCGTACTTGCAGTCCGTTGCCAGGCAGGGATCACTGGAACACATCCAACACCCCATCGTCACCCTCACTCCTTTCACACATTGTTTTTTTTTGCCAAAATTTAATTCAGGGGGAGCCCAGCTCCAAACATGGCCTACAGATTGCCACAACCACCTTCCTCTTTCCTGAAACTGATGCTGGCAATGCCACTGCAATTCCACCAAATCAGAGCACTTTCCTGATTCAGATTACTGAAATACAGCAGTGCGTGGTGGGTGCTGTAGTCTCTGAGGGCCACACTTGCAACTTAAAACTCTCAAGATCCACACAGATGCTGTTTCTCCCTTTCTGCTTACATTTGCCGCAGTGGATTCAGACAGTTTCTCTCATCTCAGTTTTGCCTAACTGAAATGAAACTCTTGGGCAAGCACGCTGCAAGATGCCAGGGCTTCCCCTGATTAGACACCATCAGCAGTGGCCTATTTAATTAGTTAAATGGTTTTGATACATTACTCCCCCCCCCCATTCCATGGATTTCTGGCTGCACAGAGGTCAGATCAGAGGTAGGTGAGCATTGATCTCTTGGATCCCAAGCACTGTACCAAATGATACCTACTCAGTTATGTGAAACTGAATTAATACACTTCTTTGAAAGCAAATGACTGTCAATACATGACCCTGAGACTGAGACTCCAGCAGCCTGAATCATTAAACAGCAATGCCTAAGCTGAGCCTGGACTCCTGCGTAAACCACAGAACTTCTGTACCTCTTTCTTTCTGTCTATGCAACAGAAATAACACCAACACTGTGAAACTTCTTTCATGTTTGAAAAGAAGCTCAGCAAGGTACATTTCCTCCTGCCAGACACCTCCCCTGTGAATTACTCCGTAAACCAACACTACAAAACCAGAGGCACAGGATTTAAAGAGACTCATTACACTTGTAGAGAAGTTCAGCCAGGACAGCAGAACTTGGAGAGATCTGAAATGAGGGAGAATTGCTCCCTATTCCCTGAGCTGTTGAGAGACCCATTCCTGACAATCACAGTCCAAGCACTTGAGCCCCCTCCACTACCTGACCCCCCCATCTTCTTCACTGAAAAAAATGAATGAAGGTCAATTATACTGAGTTCCAGTTGGCATTCCCAGGAAGAGCTTACTGGATAAACCCGGGAGAAATGCAGCAACCTTCCCTTTCAGCTGTCTGTAAACATCTGCTCTTAGTTCTGGGTACTTTGCTGCAGTAACACCTCACCTTTGCATAACTGAGCTCTCCACTGCCCACTGATTTTTGCTCACCTACAGAAACTCACAGTAAGTCCCTGCAGCAAGATCTGGCATTGGGCTACTCAGGTTTGCATGCTGAAAACTTGAAAGATGTTGTGCTTCCTCTGTGGCCTTCAGTGTCAAAAGTACTGCAAAGACACCTGTATTTCTGTGCACCTCTTCTGAGGTATAAAAAAGGCTTCAGTGATATCTCAGCAAGTGTATTTCTCTAAGCTCCCACCTAAAAGTACTCCCAGATATACTCATCAATCCTGCTTTTTCTCCTAGGAAAACTAAGGCATTTTCTAGACTTTCTGCAAGTAAATTTTCTGTGAGATAAAGCCTAGAAAGACAAGATGTCTCAGTGGGTGAATACAGAGGTAGCACTACAGTTTTGAGGAGTGGTACAGAGGGGACTGCAAGCCTGGAGGGGACATAAGGAGGAAAGCAGCATCAAGAACTTACTTCTCCTGGAACTGGAGAAATCCGGGTTTGACCTGAGGCTTGGCGTTCTCCAGGGAAGTCGTTGCCAAGGGTGAAGTTGCCAGGTTAGGCACTGATGCTGGGATCTGAGGCATCTGGGGTATAGTTGAAGCCAGCTGCTTCCAAGCTAGCAGTGTGGGGGCAGAGGGCACGGTGGTTGGACTTGGAGTGGGCACATCGAGGGCTGGAGCGCTTGCCATGGTGACAGAAGTAGCAGATGGTGATGAAGGGGCCAGTGAAGGCTTATTCTCAGCAGTGGCTGAGAAGGGAGACTCGGAGTTACTTTTCACAGTTCCACCCTCAGTTCGGAAGTGAAAACTGCAAAAAGACAGTAATGGAAATTTACAACAGGGAGAATGTCTAGGATCCTGCCCTTCCTTTGCTAGTTCCCTACTGTAACAGTGGGAAGGTATCTTAAATTCATTCTTCACTCAAGAGACGTCTGGATTTCGCTATCCAGCCTCAGGAACACAGACTGCATCCTCTACCCTACTTGTCTGGCTACCGAGCTCTGGGCTGGCTGCAGCTTTCCAAAACGATGTGAAATGACGAAGGGTTTACAATACAAGAACATGGCAAGGTGAGGAGGAGGGTGCTGTTGGGCTGGACAGTTTGACTGCTTCAGTTCAAGATCCTTATCCACATGCTTTGAACTCTTAAAACCATATAAACTAAGGGCTAGGGAAAACTTGTTAGGAGAGATTTGTCATGACAAGACAACGAACAAATAAAACGCTTTCTACACTGCAGTGATGGGGAGGTGTCTACTCCACAAAAAGTCTATATCCAGTGACAATGACAGGGTTTACAGGCTCCTCCCCCTCCCATATATGTTTTTGGATGGTATATATGTGTGCTGTGAGAAATCTGGGTCTCTTTGAACACACGGTCTGTCAAGTAGGCTATGGAAGAACACAAATGTCCAATTCTCAGCCTTGCCAAAACTTTTTCTCAAGTTGAACACATTTATTGTGAAACAAATCTAAAGAGAACATGGTGTTCTGCACAGCTTTCAGCTGAGCACATTTACACAGGAAGCACATGGATGCCCAAACTGCTGCCCTTAGGACTGCCCACATTCCTGCTCTTGAACAGAGGAGTTACTCAGGAAGTCTCTCTTGTCCTGCAGTGTGTGATGTAGTTTTCCCAAGATTTCCCAAGACTCTGCTACTTACTTGGCGTGTTTGATGGCTCCATCCAGGGTGCTGAAGAGGGCCCCACATTCCTCCACCACGCAATGGAAGTGCACCTTATGGAGGAAGTCGCACTGTGCATCGCAGAAGTCCTTGGTACCAAACCTGCCCAAAGCAGACAAGCATCTTAGGGAAGAGCCCAACAGAGAAGCCATGTTGGAACAGACATATTCTGGTTTTCAGCTCTACCACCACTGTGTTTCTAATGCCAGTTCCTGCGGCACAAACTGCTGGTGTTGTTACTTGGTTAGTGCCTGTTACACAGATCTGAACATGCAGAACAAGCACCTAATTTCTCTCCAACTGGACTTGACCAAGAAACTCCCATTTTAGTGTGAGCACAATACAGAACTATTCTGAAACAAAACCTGAAAACCATTAAGTTCTTGAGCATCCATGACAAAAGCCAAGGCTCTGCAAACGATCACAGGTTAGTAAAGGTAATCCAGGTAAGACAGGTCTTTGTTTTCTTTTCTTTCTCAATTTACTGGGACTAGCAAAAGGGAAGAAACAGGAGAGGCTCAAGGGAATCTAGATCCAGAACCCACTCACCCCCAACATTGAAACAACAGGGTACTACATAGATGGAGAGATGAGGGATCATCCATATAGCAATTCCAGCCTAGGATGCATAAATAATGAAAAGCATAATCCCTGAAGAACATAAGAAACATCCCTGGCAAAGCAAGCACCAGAGCAAAAGCCATCATCTAAGACACCCCTCTCCTTATCATGGAGGAAATGGTCAAGAATGCAAAACCAACTAAGCATGGTTTCACTGCTCATCCACTGCTGAGATGCTCTGGACTTAGTAAGAGTAGCACAAATACATGTGATTTCAGGAAACTCCAGAATCACAGGGAATCAAGGAATCACGTAAAAAACACTGGCAGGAAGGATCTGAAACTTAACAGGGGAATCTTGCATAATTAAGATACAACAAACTACAATTGCTCTGATGAGCAGGAAAGCAAGACACAAACAGCAGCCTGTGTGGTCCCAGGAGGGGCCTCCTACCCGTTTGAGAGTAAAGGAAAAGGAGGAAAACCTCATGCTGGAGAAGGAAGGTCAGTGGATATAGAATACGTGCACTCAGTTGAGGCTTCCAGGGAGAAGATGAAGGTAAGTAAAGGTATGGTAAGAGATAAGAAACCAAGATACTGCAAGGTAAAGGGGTGCTTTTATCAGGGCCAAGAGATACTGCACTTAGTAGGAAGATTCAATGAAAATGGGAGGTCAAAAATGGCTGCTTTATGAAATCTGCTCTGGACAGGAAAACTAAAGACAAAGCAGACTATTAGGGATAAAGTGAAGACCTTCCAGAAGAGCAGATAAAGGGACTGGTCAGAAAGTACAAATACACACAAAGCAGCCAGTCTGGATGACGTGTGTCCTGAAGGGCAATGGAAATTAACTCCCAAACTGATTGCTTTTCTGTTTGCTGGTTTTTAAGCCATAGAGAAGAGGGAGGTATGGGAAATTGAAAATAAAAGAAAGAATAATAGAAAAATCTAGATACTGATTCTTTCAGGGGAAAAAAAGACAAGTGATCTTTGGCAATTATCGTACCTCCAGCCTTAACTTCTCCTTCCAGTAAAGTAATGGAACAAATATTAAGAGGGAGGAGAAAATCATTAAACATCTAGAGGATAAAGGAACCATGAGCAATAAACAGCATCAGGATTATAAAGAATAAATCTTGCCAGACAAATTTAATTGCTTTTTTTGATAGAATTACAAAATTAGTGGATGAAGGGATGCAATATATTTGGATTTTAGTAAAGCATTTTGATACGGTCTTGCATATGCTTAGAATTAATTCAAATTGGCCTGGATGTGAATGCTACCTCATGGATTGCAAACTGGCTGAAGGACCATAAACAAAGGCTAATGACAAACAGCACTGAGCTGGTAGGAGGTATCCCGCGAACACCGCACGGCTGACTTGGGTTAGGTCTGAGCTTATTTAACATCTTCATTAGTAATCTAGGAGAAGGAGTAAACAGCGTGTTAATGAAATTCACAGAAGATACTAAACTGGGAGGAGTTGGCAACACCAGTGCAAGAGGAGAAAAATAACACCGAGAGGCCTCGCAAGACAAGGGAGAAGGTTCAGAATACAAGAGTCCTGTTTGGAAGCACACAGCTAATACATCTGGGGGTGGGGGTGGTTTTATGCATGGGGGACTCAGGAGAGCATTAAAAGCAACCCTGTGTTACAGTGGTTGGTAAACATTATACATATACATTATGCAGTATAGATGCAAACCAGGTAGCACACTTGTGAGCTGCATATATGGGGGCAGAAAGCTTGTTAGGTCTGGTGTGGTGATGCAGGACTGGCAGTCTGGGTCTGCACCCGTTCAGGGCACAGCAAGAATACCAACAGCAATGACATGATCATCACGCTGAAGGGACTAATTTACAAAGTCAGATTAAAGGAAGTAAATAAGCTTGGGTAAATGGGCTGCTAAAAGTCTGATTATCTGAAGGGGGTGAACCCCAGTTGCAGAGGAATTATTTGCTGTGGTTCAAGGGGATAGAACCAGGAGAACTGCAACAAGATTACAAAAAGGGAAATTCAGGCAGCATTCCATGAAAAAGAATCATGACAGTGAGACTTACTATGTGGTAGAATAATGCTCCCAGAGACAAGAAAATAGCCACTGCTTGGCATAATTACAACTAGGCTGGACAAAATGCAAATGGACTGCAGGGAAGGATCTCACAGTGGCCAGGGGCAGACAGACCAGAGAAGTTTCCAGTCTTCTCCATTAAAGTCTGGGATTTACAAAGTGTCCACAGGCATTTGTAGGCAACAATCTGTGTCAGAGCACAAACCCGTATGTGTCTGCCTGGGTGTATCTGTGTATGCTCAAAGCATGTGTCTGTCTGGGCATGTATGTGCATGTGTCTGTGTGTGGGTGAGTTTTGTATCTGTTCCATTTTCCTTTCAAGCCTCCTTGTCTACAACACAACCAGCAGAAACCATCCCAGTTCCCATACTCTTTATAATCCTGATTTTGTTTCAGTGGCCTACTCCTGTGATCAGAGGAAATGCCACAGCAAGCATAAGGCTTCTGTGATCTGTGTGTAGTAACTCAACATGGTCCAACAGCTGCCATGGGTCTCCCGGACTTGAGGGCTGGGGACACAAAGAGGAGCCCAAGAAGCAGCCTAGGCCAACAGTGAAGATCTGTGCTCATAGTTGGTTGTCAAGATCCTTTGTAAAATAACTCTATGTGTACAGGTTATTTCTGACAGGACATTAACACCTACTGCAGCTGGCCAGGACTGAGGACCAAATGGACTCCAGAAGGTGATAAGCGTATCACAGAATTAGGCCTTTAAATCCAAAAGAACTCTGCATTCAAGTGTAAACTAACGAGCCAGACGCTTTGCAAAAGAAGTAATATTCCCTTTTCTCTGTTCCCAGTTCCATGCTTTCCTTACCGGCGCAGGTACATCTTCCATGGCTCGGAGAGCTTCTCCTGGACAAGTGCCTTCACTGCCTTGCCCAAGTACTGTGTTGGCTCTCCAGCCCCAGCCTGGCTGCCATCTCCTTCTGTCTTAATGTTCAGCAGGTTGCCAAGGCTGGCACTGGTCTTGGACATCTGGAACAAGAAGACAGACACTGCATCAAGCCCAGCACGCAGCCGTGGACACTGCCACTCTGGATACCCCCCCGACTGTCCCATGGGAAGCTGTGTCTTCAAAGATTAAGAGAGAAGACAAGAAATCTGTGCAGACTGCTTCAACTGCATCAGCAAAACTTAATAACACATCACTCTTACACATCCTCCACCCAACTATCATGAAGTACTCCAGTGCCCATCTAATATTCATGGCTCTTGTGTGAAGTCATGAAGCATCCTGTCTATTTTATACACGGGTAAACTGAGGTGAAGAGAGACATACCCTGTCTGAGTATGGAAGAGGTGTGCAGGCTTCAACATTAATAGCCCTGTATAGCTCCTACAAAATGCTGGTCTCTTAGCATGGAGCTAGTGACAGAACTACTAAGCTCTTGTTTATTTAGTCAGCTTATCCCAGCCACAAGGATGTCTCCTTCTTTGAAGTGACTATCAGGTGTGGTTGGGGGGGGGGGAATCTCATTCAACTGGGAAAAACTCCTGTCTCCACTTAAGTTCCTGGAAAATTCTTACTAACTTCAATAACAGAATTACAGCTCTTTGTCCTAATGGACATGTCCTCCACAAAGCAGGACTCACAGCCTGCATTGCGTGAAAGGCTTCAAATAGGTTCTACACAGAGCAGGTTTTGAGGTCCAGGTGTATGATGTACAGGATAGAAAAAAGAAGTTATTCAAGAGTGTTTAGAGAAAAACTTTCATTCTGAATAAACGCACGATTTCCCAGACCCTTTCTTGCTTTGTTGTGCTCTCAGTTACCTCCAGGAACAACAGTGAATTTCACAGCATGAATAAAATGCAGGATGGGGCCCAACACTTGCATTATAAACTCCACCCACTTGAGGATCTCAAAGCCCTTTATAAATACCAGTTAATTAAGCCTGACAGCCCCCTAAATAAACAGCAATAGGCTACAGGAACCCTGGCTATTTGAGGCTCTCTTAATGCCCCCTGAAGGTAAAGCCCCTGCTGCTGTGTGGAGACTGCAGCTCTTTATGGCTGGAGTCAGAAATTCAGGTTGTCTGTTTCCATTGAGCTCGTTGGGCATTCAATTTCTGTGAAGGGCTTTTTTTCCCTAGATGAATTGTGAAGGATTCCTCCACAAACAGAAACTGCGTGTAGCAAGAGGAACAAGCAAGTGTGATGTGTTCCTGAGCATGCTGAGCTTGATTCTGCAGTCCTTAGCCCTGGAATAGGCTCCTGGAATTAGTGGGCTCTATTTGCTGGTTTATGTCATTGGTTAATCCCATTCCTTCTTTGAAAAAGGAACAAACCTGAAGGATTCTTGTTTTGTACCTGTGCTACACTTCTTTTGCACAGCATAAAGAATCCTATGCAGGGCTGCACACAAACAAACCCTTATTTCTAAGCATATACTTAAATCTCCTGTCCTCCTGGAGATTTTCAAGTGAAGTAGCTATGGAAAGAGAGCTTTCCCTGAGCTGGGGTCTTCAGAATGACTTGGGACCCCAGACAGCAGATTTACTAGCTGTATTTACTCACTAGAGGAGGAGCTGCGTATTTGGAATCTCTAAAGGGACAATGTGCAGGAATGGGTAAGAAATTAAGATTAAAAGGGAATATCAAAGCCCCAGTATAACAGAGAGCCCCACTGAAACAGCCAGTGGACAAGAATAGTGATGTAAGGATAAATGCAGATATTAAACAACACAGAGAAAAAAGAGTGATCAAATAAGAGAGAAAGGAGGAAGAGACTACTAGGCAAAGTCACTCTGGCCTCTCTTGAGGGTTACATGGCCTTGATACACGTAATGCCCAGAGCCAAGGGGATGGCAATAGCTATGCCTGTAAAACCCATCACACAGTAGAATATTAAAGCATGGCTCAAAGGCTGCCCTCATCTCCACGGCAGTTGTATACAACAGCAAAATTAATCTTGGTACAGTAGAATTTATCATGTGAAAGGGAAATATATATTTGAGATGATGTACAATTTAAAGAAAAAGTAAGGAAAAAGAAACGGTGCATTATCTAAAATAAATATTCCAGAATACGGTGAAGGGGCTCTGTTGGACACCGTTACTCACAATAGAGGGACAGGAATTGATGATTTTGGTTCAAAACTTCTGGTTTTTTTCTTCTTGTTCATAAAAGCAAATGATTGTCCTCCCCCTCCCCCAGTGAAAGAAAATGGTTTTAAGTAAATAAACCAAATGGGGACTATAAAAAGAGAGAGAGAAGTTGCCAGGTTCTGGAAATAAAAATGGGGGGAAAAAATAATTAAAAAACTACTCTTTCAGATCCTCCTCTGTCTTGAAAGGATGAAGGGAAAAAAAAAGGTGTCAGAGGCTGCAATATATTTCTTCAGCCAGTTCATTAAATTAATTCGTAAGCAGTGGCTCTGAAATTATACCCGATGAAAAATGGTCTCAAAATTTAAATGGTACAAACTCATCTTATTAGAGGCAAAACATTAAAAAACAAACGCATCTCCCCCCCCCCACCCTCCCCGCTATCGCGGCTTTAATTTCTCGTGGTGGGGGGAATGAAAGGCGTTTGATGGATGGCTCTTACCTTATTCATAAGCGAGGATAAAAGAGATGAATTTGCCGAGACTGTGTGGCCATTTGATTCATTACTGGAACACACAAACCAACAGGGTTTAGTTAAGATGTGCACAGGGACTGTGAGCACCGAGATTAATCCTCCTCCCTTCAAGCTGCCTCACTCCTCACCTGCTACATCTGGAGGAAGAGAATGATGCCCACCCTCCCTTGGGCTGCCCCGACTCCTTTACTTGTGATAGCCAACATGGAGAGAAAGAGAAGGTCCCAAGTCTGCAGAATTTAGTTCTTCCAGCTACTGAACAGGCCAGACCTCTTCCTCCAGTGTCCACACTTTTACCAGCTGACTCAGAACCCACACCATGTTTTACTCCTTCATCCCATTAGAACTTCCAGAACTAGGCTGCTCGTCAGGGACACAAACCAAGGGAAGGCAACAATCCTTATGGCCACAGCTAAGCATGCTGAAAGACAACCTTGGCATACACCAGCAATACTTGTAGTTTACTGCTACTTGGGTCCCAAATTGAGGCTTGTTTAAATACAGTATGGAAAAGAATGTATACAAAGGTCAAAGTGGAGCAAGCTCAGTTATCCCCAGCCTCAGTTCCTCTCCAGTTTTTCCACACAGGACAATCCCCAAATGCTCCTATTCTCAGCAGGGATGCTGGGGACACACTCTGAGCTAGGTGCATTCACCTTCATGCAAGCGCAAAGATTCATCACCATAACTGGAGATGAGCACATGCCAGACCCAGACCCAAGTCAGTGACACCCAGTAGTTTTGTGTGCCCAATTTCTCTGGCAGGTGCCTCTCTCAGACCTGAATCAAAGCTCCTGCTAGAAGTGTGCTGAAGTATGGCATTGGAGCAGCCTGTGATCAAGTCTTGATGACAACAGCAGGAATATCTACGTGAAGGAAGCTTTGCCAGTGGCTCATTTTTCAGAGGGAAGCACAAGAGGTGAGGCTCTTGTCAAAAAGTCAGGAGGTGTTTGTGAGCCCCAAATGAGAGTCTGGAGAACACACACACTGGAGGGGAGGAAAAAGAATCTCCCTGCCTCCAATGTGGGTGCATCCAATTCAGCACTGTGAAATTGCCTTTCATCAACATTTTGTGTCCCCTCATATTATAGGTATGGAAACTTGTTAGAGCTTGATGCTGGAAGGCACTAAGGATGCCTGCGCACAACCCTCACCCGTGATCCTTGACACTCAGGTCCAAACTGTGCTCCTGCAAAGACTCCTGACTAGTGGCAGACGATGATCCCATGGCCTCCACAGGTTCCTGCTTCACCTGAACTGGATTGAACCGTCCGGGAGCTGCTGGTTGTCCATTCCCTGCTCGAGAAAGACACCAAAATTAAATGCAAAAATTAAATGACAAAGGTAAGTCTAAAATGAGGTTACAACGGCAAATAAAAAAGCTAAATCACTAGCACCAGTGCATAAATGGGAAAAGCAAAGAAAAAGTCGGGGGCGGGGGGGGAGGGAAGTGCTGGGATTGCTGGTCAGCGTTTATTGCCAGGCTGACATGATGGGTTCTGACGTCCACTCCAGCGTGGAAATTCTTCAAGTGATAATTATTGCAAAATTATGTCAAAGTTGTCCAGGCTATGGGCCCTTTAAAGGAGAAGGGCGGAAGGAGCGTGGGGGAGACCTGATTCCCTGCACAAACTGTCATAACTAATTTGCGGGGCTGCCTCTTAAGCGTTTATTAAAGACTCTGTTAATGCTGAGGCAATGTGGCAGCTCTCGACTGCTACTCAAGCCCCCTTTCCCGTCCCCAATCCCAGCGTTGCCGTAGCGACAGCGATGGCCACTGCGCCTGCCCAGCAGGAGCATCTGCCCGTCGGGGCTATCGGAGGTGACAGCCAAAGGGCCTGGCTCAAGCCACCGCCAGCACAGTGTCCTCACAACAAGGGGGGGGATTCTTCTTTTTGGGGAGGAGGTTTAGTGCTGAGCCCATGGGAGAAGAATTCAAATTAAAGGAAGAGAAAGAAAGAGGAAAGGGGGGAGAACAAATTAAAGGGAAAAAAATTAGGAAGAACAGTGAAGAAAAAAGGAGGGAAAAAAAGTTGCTGACAGGAACATGTCTGCAGAGCTTTTTTCCACAATCCCCAAGTGACTAAAATATTAATTTCCCCTCCGGCAGTACAGCTGACGGCGAGCTGCTGCTCAGACAGCAAGTGGCATTTTATTAAAAAATAAAGGAAAATAGTTCCCTCAATGACCTTTCTCTGCTTTAGGAAACCATTTTTCAAATAATAATTTTAAAAGTATGTGAAAGTTCCCCTCCCTCTTTAATCAGATCACTTCGTCCTACTCCCTCGTTTGCTCTCGGGTCGAAGGGGCCATTGTCAGCACTCACATCCCCGTGGGCCAGCAGGGAAGGAGGCTCTGGGGCAGCTCAATGCTGTGAGGTGCTGCCAGGCAGAGCCTCCCCCACACTGCCCACCATGAGCTGTCCATGTTCAGCAGGAGACTGTGGAGGTACCCAGTGCTCTGAGGGAGCCCCACATCCCTGCCGGCATGGCTGGCCACAGGCAAAGGCCTGCCCCAGGTCCAGGTGGCAGCAGGAAGAGCTCTGGGTTGCCCCAGGGGACTTCTCATTCCCATCTTCTATCCCTCTCACAGTGTCAGTGCCTGTTGAGCTCAGGAGAAGCACAGCTTGCAAGAACTGAACAGGAGAAAGCTCCAGTTGGTGGAATGTACCAACACCTTCTCCAAACCCAGAGCTGCAGCACAGAACCAAACCCCAGGTCAGAAATTGGCAATGAACTACAGGATCAACACTACTAGGCCCAGCTAAAACTTGACACAGTCTGCAGAAGAGGGCTGCAGCATTTGGCTCATTCTTAATTTCCATTTTTAATACAGTGCCTCTCCATTTTCAGCCTATAGCAAAGTAGGTAATACACATGGCAACACTCTTCAGATCTGGTAAGAACCTATGCTATTGTGGGCAAAGCTGCATTTCCTGCTTCTCTTCTAGCCACGTGGGTATAGCCAGATTCCACAGGAAACCATGCTAAGACTGCTCTCTTCAAGGGCTAACTGGACATGACCAAAATTCATTCTCACATTTATGTTCCTCCACTACCTCCTCTCCACATCCTGTCCCCCAGACAACACAGTGGCTTCTCATTCACTCTTCTCCAAGTCATCAGGCATTACTCTTTCTCCCACCACTAGCACAGCTGATGAGGGTGACTCACCTGCTTCAAGTGCCACAGAGGGCTTGAGTGCAGCCGCTGCCAGCCTGGCCATCATAGGAGAGATTAATCCCTTGCTAGCAGAGATCCTTTCCATTATAGATGCTGCTGGAGCTGAAGAAGTAGCTGCTGGCTCACCAGATCCTGATATGGCCTGGGATGAGGAATCTGTAGAAGCAGATGATGTTGGATTGGTGCCAGAAGAACCAGCAGTCATCAGATTAGCTGAGCTGGCAGGAAGTGGTGTAGAGACCCGACTGGGGATGATGGGGAAGAAGGATCCAGCTGTTCCAGGAAGTGCTGAGTTGGAGAGTGCCAGGGCCAAGGGTATACTGCTGGGAAGAGCCTGAGAGAGCAGGCCAGAGATCTTGGTGGCTGGTGTCATGCTGTTGGCAGACTTGCTGGCCTGTGAGGAAGCGAGCTCAGCAGCAGAGGAAGGTGCAGCTGGGACTATGAGAGAAACGGAAGACTGTTGACTGGTGGGGGAGGCACTCAGGCTGGAGTTCTTCGAGCTCATAGCGGAGAAGTCAATAAGGTCATCATTACTGGACTCCTCTTGCTCATTATCCTTGGACCCCAGGAGGGAGGTAGGCAGGCCCAGCACTCCTGAGCTCCGGATGTGCCGGCGCTCATGTTTGCGTTTATGGGAGGTCATCTGGCTGGTGGAAGTGAAGGTGAAGCCACAGCCTGCCCTTATGCAGTGGAAGTGGTTGGTAGCCTTGCTGTAGACACAGCCCTCATACTTGCATTCCTCGTATTTGTAGAATTTCTTGAAGCCATCCTTGGCATAGGCATCATCTTTGATGTGGTAGCTCTTGTGCTTCTCAATGTCACACTTGTTCTTGAAGGTGAATGTACACCCAGGTCGCCTGCAAAGGCATTGAGGAGGAGAGGATGGTTGGCTGTGTGGGCTAGGAGCACAATGCTAGGACCACAACTGCTGTCACCTGCCTCCCTCTGGGATAAGGACCGGGATCAGCGTGGGATAATGGCCCTGACAGCAAAAGAGCTGAGGAGCATTACATGGTTTAACCTGTGACACCCAGGCAAGCAAGAATGCTGCCATGTGAGACCTGGGAAGCTCGCTCCACTCTGAGGAGCAGCCACAATACCTTTGAGGTGTAGGTGCCCACCACTAAAAGTTCCAACCAAAACAGCAGCTACAGGGGACTAAGGTACAAATTGTGCTTTCCCACTCTTCCTGCGAATGTGAGGAATCAACAGAAGAGCGTTTGTGTACAGAAGACAGAGTCTGGCCCCGAAAGGGATGAACTGGCTGACTGTTGGCTGGAGAGAACTCTAGCATGGAAGTGCCATTAGCAGTGTATTAATGGTCTACTTCAGTTGAACTCTGCAAAGCACTGTGACAGTTCCCAAATGATTCTGTGATTTTCTAGTGGGTACCCTTTTCCTCAGATTACCTCAGATCACACACCTGCCTTCCAAGTGCTCTGCGACAAGATCCTGGAAATCGCATCTGCCCTGGAACATGAGTTCAAGAGCAGTGCTGAGAAGGTCATGGCAAGGAAAATCAAGTCCCTGTGCCTACTCCTGAATTTATGGCCGGGCAGGAGGTGGCAAACAGACACACAACTCTGAGGCAGGGTTCCTGCCCTTCCTGCTGTCTCACCTGCAGTGAAAGTGAGTGGTTTTCTGCCCGTAGAACTGGCATTCCACAGTGCCGCAGTCCTCTGTGGCACGGAACCGCTGGAACCCGTCGTTGATGAGCTGTGTGTTCTTCTTGTGAAAGTTCTCATGGGTCATCACGTCTGAGGTGCTTGTGTAGACCTTGTTACAACCCACCTACCCCAGGCCAAAACAGGGAGTCATCAGCACAGCTTTGTAACAGCCCATCATTATTACCAGCAATAAACACATGAGCACCACACATACATTTAATAGTTTCATTTGTGCGTTTGTCCAAGGAGTATTAAGTCATCTCTTTAATCCCCAATCTAAAGACTGATAGAGCAGTTGTGAAATAAATAAATGAATAAAACAACTCTCTGGGCATGAAACAGTAAAAGAGGAGGATGCAAAGGGATAAAAGACCAGCTACAGATTATCAAGCCTGCTTAGGGAGGCAGTAAATAGGGCTCCTGCTCTTAAGGAGAAAGGAACACCGACATATGCCATTACTTTTTGTTATCATGGAGCAACATGGAATAAAATAAGGAGTTTCACCTATCTGGGGAATACAAAGTTGACTGGGAATGAGTTATTTACCTCTAGACCTTCTGGGAGGTAAGGCAGGGCACTGCAACATGAGGCAAATCTTTCTGAGCTTGTCATATACAGGTTTCATTCTAGCCAAGCATAAACCCTCTGTTCAGCTGACCTTAGCAAACCAGAGCCTTTTCTCCCCCGTCACTGTTCAACAGTACCACTCCAATAATTTGAAGCTCGTGCAGCAAATGGGAATGGTGTGACAAGGAGGGAATGCTGAAAACCTGCCTTCCTCTGGGCAAAGCGGGCAACTTTGCCATATTGAGTAAAAACACCCTGGAATCTGAAAACGTCCTCAGCCCTGCTGAGGGAGGAATTTTTTTCCCTCTTCTTCTCTAGCACAACGTGTGCCAATGCCTGCACCATCTCAGAAGTGAAGAGAACGAAAACAGCACCTCTTAGTTCAGCCCAGGTTGATTCAAACAGGCAATAACAAACCCCGTGACAAATACCCAGGAAAAGAAAAAAATAACAAGGATCTCCAGCTATTTCCAATATAAAAGAGCCTCTCTCTCTCTGCACTGACACCTTGAAAAAAGACAGACCCTGCATGGCATTAAAAAAAAGAATTAAACAAAAACCTCCTTAGGAATAATTTGCAATGCAGCTCTTGGTGCTAAAGCCTAAAAAAAATGTCAGTTCATATAAACAACTAACTGAATTTTATCCACACCAATTATGGACATAAAGAAAAAAAAAGAAGCCCATGAGATGGATGGCACAAATTCTGCCATTTAAGCAGTATTTTCTTTAATTGGGAGTTTATATTCAGACACCTTTCCTGTAAGACACTGCTTACATGGGCATTATTTTACTGGAAGGCAGTGGGCACAGGATGGAATTAGCCATATATAGTTGTGGAAATGAGGGTCTCTATTTGAACTCAGAATGACTTAAACCTGTGAAACATTCCTTGTACTCTAAAAAATATAATTCAACAAATCCCATCCTGCTCAGTTGAAGGAACTAAACAATCAATAATATGGAAGCACAGCAGAAAATGTCCTCAAAAGAAAGGCACATGAAGTTCCCAATTTATCAAATGTTGTAAGCACATGCTTAAACCAAACCCTATTCAGGACAGTACTTGAGTGCATGCCTAACATTTAAGTATGTGCTTGAGCCCCATTGACTTCAGAAAGCTTACCTGACTTCAAGTTAAACACATGCTGAATTTTATCCCAGCAAACTATTTAAGCATGTGATTAGGGCCTTCTGACTTTAACTGGGGTCTTAAACTGTTGGGATAGGGCAAGAAGCAAGATCTGAGTTTTTCATGACAAAAAGCTTTCACCAAGGGTTGCCTGATTATTGTTTGTAACCACAGTACAGTCTCATGGCAATCATTTAGGCCCCAATTCTAATGAAACAAGTACATATCAAACCACTAATGTAAAGAACAATCAGGGCAAGATCCAAACAATCTGGTGTGTCTGTGTCTAAAAACAGTTAAAGGCATCACAGTTACATTTATGCAGCAACTCCAGCTCTGCTGCTGAAGCCTGACTGGCTCTTGAAACAACGTCCCAGCCTACACCATAGACAAGTACCACTGATGAAGAAGATGGAGAACCAGGGGTGTTAAGTCTAGATATGTGTCATTAAAGTTTAATTACTTTAGAAATTGATTATGGGGGAATTTAACCCAATGTTAAAGGGCAGATGTGTCACAGAAAAGTCTGATTTCAAGGGAGTGACAGATCAGATTTCAGTAGAGACAGCGTGCACTGCAGAGAGGTCCCTGAATCTCAGAGAACAGGACTTGTTTGAACTAGTGAAGTCCAAAACTGTGAGAAAACCTTGAGACCTGTTTTACTTCACTGCATGCACAAGGCTTCTAAAACCAGAGCACCCTCCTGGGCAGAGAAAGTGCAATGAGGATAGGTCACAGACTCTTCAAAGAGATGCCTGATTGAGAAGTGAAGAAGAGAGGCTATGCATGCCACCCTTCACCTCAGGACACCCCCTTGCTGTCTAATACGAGGCATGGGGCTGCCAGAACTCAAGAATCCCTTTCAGTCCAGCCCAAAAAGGACACAGCTCAAACCACGGCTCTTCATTTGCCTCGTGTGCTACCATCTAGTCCCCGCCCAGCAGTTACCTGCATGCAGTGGTAGTGTGTGCTTTTCCCATTCAGGTGGCAGCCATGATAGTACACGCTACAGTCATCCAAGGGGCTGAAGCGCATGAAGCCGTGCTGGAGGGAATTATCTCGTTTCTTGTGCATGTTGTAATGCCGAATCACATCCTGTTTACTAGTGAATCTCTGGAGAGATACAGAGACAGACAGTGAGGCACACGTGATGGCACTGGGTGAGTAATCCCAGGGGCAGAGTGAGTTTTGTCGTTGTTGTTAATAAACTTAACGTATAAGGAGTTTAAAGCTCAGCAGTGATCACCCCAAGAGGGTCAGATTAAAGAGGAATTGTGTGTATGTATCTTCTTGGTAAAGTATATACACGTGAAAAGCTGTAAACATGACATTGGGGTGATGTCCTGAATATGCTCCCTGCAGCTTTAAGACTGCAATTCTTCTAACATAATTTTAGCTGCTACTATCTCAAGAACTGCTATAGTTAGAAAGCAAACCAGTGAACTAAGCAGCCTACAGGAGAGTAATCCAAGCTTCCAAATCACTCACTGTAGTGGTTAGCAAGACACTGGCTGCCACATTCATGTCAGACTAGAAACTGGGAAAACCGCTCTGCTTCTTTTACAGTATCTTCCCACTGTAAGTCTCCTGCCTCCCCTACAAGGTAGGATGGCTTTATTAGGAATACAGGGACATAAAAGTTTCTTCCAGTCAAAGAAAAAGATGGCAGCAGAGATCAGAGTTAAATCCGTATGACCAGAATATCCTTTTCATCCTCTACCTGCTTGAAGTAATGAAGGGGCACCCCACTGCCAGAGCAGGCTAAGTGCCTTTAAAATGAAGCTTTTCATTTCTGTTTCCCACAGACATCAATATTTAACAGTGAAGGTGGGAAAGTAAATCTGGTGTTTTTTTTAAAGAAATCAATATCCATTTATTTTGAGGAGTAATTGAAAAGGCCTGTATTCTAATGTTTAACAACTTTTCTAGTCTCCCTCATAGGAAACAAATGATCATCGCTTCCACTCCTTCCTCCTATAATATCAATCCTGATCAATCTTGTTGGTATTGGCACGGGAATATATGGATATAGATTTCAACAGGAATCCCTTGGAAGCTGGAGGTCTGATTTCCCAGGGCGTACATCCAGGATTGCTATTGCCAATCACCCTTAATTTGTGCCCACTTATTACAGAGCGTTACTTATTCTAAAATATATCTCAGCCATAAAATAATTTGCATTTTAAAAAGCAGCCTAAATCCTTATTCCCTGCGAGACCAGACAGCTCCTTTGCAAGCAGCTTCCAGACTCCTTAGGAAATAATCATGAGGCCAATCATAATAATAGGTTTTTCTGTCTTTCCATCCTTTGTGTTTCTTTCTGGTGCAGAGATATCCATGTCATGGTTGGGACAAACTCATCTCAATTACCAAATGCTGGGCTAGGAGGACTGCTACATGCATCCCAGGGACAAACTTCTCCTTTAATCAATAGAAACCCACAGTCAAGCTCAGCAGTTTCAGATCAACTTCCTATGCTGTGGTCAGACTCATTCCTTTGAGACCCAAAGGTCTCCTGGGATAGGGCTGAAGTTGTGCCTGATGCACAGCAGAGGCAAGCTCTGGGATTCCCACTTAGACACACGCAGCCTGACCACAGAAATGGCAGTGTCAAACTCCCAGACCTGGGAAGAGGGTAAACAAACACAGCACATGATGGGGCTGGCCTGACGTGGCTACGCTGGCAGTTCTCCCAGTCATTACAGCATCCACACACTCCTGCCCCCACACTTTCCCCACAAATCCCAGGCTGCTGCTGGTCTTATTGGGTGTTTTGCTGCAGATACTGCTGCTACAATGTCACTCGGGCAGCAGGAGGGAAAGAGACAGACTTAACAGATCAGCATTCCCTATTTTCAGGAGCAATTTGTAACACAGCAGAATTTCACCGATACAAATCTGGAGTAGTTCCCACTGATTTGAGCTGATCTATATTCTGCTCTTCTTTATAGTGGTTTGAGTTTGGTTAAATGGTGTTAGATTGGGTTAAACGGGAACAAAATAGGGTTCTAGTAAATTCAAAATGTATCTTGCCCTTAAAAAGTGAAGAGGCACATGTGTGTATGAGGGAGAAAAGCACAGGAGGACACGCATCTCTCCCAGACTGCACCCTTTTACATTCAGGTAGCTGAGCTGATAACTTTTTACCATTATTTTACCTGGTAGTTGCACTCAGGGTCAAGGCAGTGGTAATGTTCTCTATACTGGTATGCACAGTGTATGTGTCCACAGTGCTGACTGCCAGAGAACCTGCAAACATGAGAGGAGGACAGAAGAAAAAAGGGAAAGAGAATAAAACAGTGTCCTGCGAGTAGTGCATGTAAACAAGGTACAAATAAATTAAGTCCCATTACTGATTTCATTCCTCATGTTTAAGGCATTAAAACCCATCTCCTTTATCCCCTCCAAGGAGATAGTAACCCTTCAGCCTTCCTCTTCTTAGCTGTCACTATTTAGAGGTGCATCTTGAACAGGATTATTTAAGTCTTGTACTTCCCTAATCTGTCTTTCCCTTTTAAATTCACCTCCATTATCTAAGTTGCTTACCTGGAGCAGAGTAAGAAAGGAAGGTTCCTTGAATTCAGTATCATACAATTCTAAAATTCTCCTGTGTGAGTTTAGATGCCTCCGAAAAGCTCAGGCATTCAATTGTATGAGCTCTGTCTCAAGATTATTTTTTCTTTTTTCTAGTCAGAGCATAGTGTCACACTACAGAGAAGACTGCAAACCAGTGGATTAGATTAAACCATGCAGATAGAAGATGATCATGGCAAGATTGCACAGGAACTTTCAACAAGATGGGCAGATCAACAGAAAGATAGGCGAGATGGATCAACAGGAGCAGAAGGAAGCGTTACAGCCAGAGCATCTCTGCCCTGTGAGTGCATCTTCTCCCATGCACAACAGCCCTGCTAATCTTTATTCTCCATGTGGATACGTAATTGCTCACAACAAAAAATAGTGCAGTGCAAAAACCAGGGCTTTCAGTCTGCCTTTGAGTGCCATTAAAAGTAGGACACAAAAAGCAACAGCCAACAACAGGCACCCAATCCATTTGTGCAGGTCACCACCAAACATTCTACCCAGCAGATTTGGAAACTCCAGACACACAGGGTGGAAAAATCCCCAGAAAGGCAGAAATGCCATTTAATACCTACATACAGACAGCACATAGGATGTAGTGACTGACAGATACACAAGTAACTGGCAAAAGGGGATGATCCAGTAACAGGCTAATCAGTGCAATAAACTCTCTGATGTATATTCAGAGGACCCTGGAAGAACTGAAGAGCTTGAAAGGGAAAAGCAGTGGAGAGAAGCAGACTCAGAGGGGAAACATTCAAAGATAAAGTACCATCTGCTCAAAGGTTCCTCAAAGGTTCCTCCCGTCACTTAGTGCTAAACGCAGCAGGAGTGCGTATGATAAAGGGCATGGGAAAGAAACAAGGAAGGGCAACGGGTAAAAAAGGAAAAAATGAGAGGAGTGAGAATGTCCTGGGGCCATCAAGGAACGGGGCAGGAGCAGGGAATATTACAGATCATCGTAAGGTGAGGTAACGCTAAGCTACAAGACAGAGAAAGTCGGGATGGAAAACAGGACTAAATAAGGTATTTCTGAAGCACAGTAAAGAAGAGGAGGTCAACTGTGGAGACAGCAGGGCCTCTAGGAGATGGAAAGAGGACTTAATTGACAGAAAAGATAGACATTGCTAAAAAATTAAATGACTTCTTTGCCTCAGCATTCACAAAGGGAGACAGGGACAGATGCCAGGAGCAGACATGCCTTTCCCTGGGGAAGGAGAAGAAATACTGCAGGAAATCAGGATCACGTCAGAACAGGTGATTGAGAAACTAGAACAAACCTCAGCAGCAGAGAAGAAACAAACCACAAGGCAAACAGCAAGGCTGGCTGCACAAACAAAGGTGTGGAGCAGAAAGCAGTGGAAGCGATTCCTGCTCAGTGCCTGGGCTGCGGTGAGGTTGGTACAGGACACAGGCAGCAGCCTTAGTCACTGTGCCATTAACCAGGTACATACAGCTCAGTAGCAGATCGAACCAACTGGTCCTGCTGGTCCAGGGCTTTATGTCAGCAGCACCACCAGCAGCCTTAAAGGAAAGAAATTGCTCTGTCGAAAGCTTCCTTGCTATCCCGATGAAGAGAGGGGGAAAGAGAGAGCAAAGGGCTGAGAAGGCCTGGAGAACTGTGGAGCGCACGCCAGGCAAAAAAAAGAGGAAGATAAAGACCTTGCTGACATATAAACACCTCTGAAGCAAAGCAGTCAAAATATCATTGAAAGTGAGGACACAAAATTACCAGGGATGCCAACTGCAGTGCAAGAAGGGCCAGATAATGAAGAAATTCGACAGTATGGGATAAGTTACTTTAAGCATCCTAGCAGGAGTAACTCACAGGCACAGCTTTAAAAGCAAACAACTAAACAAGCACTCCAACACTTCAAACTCTTACCCTCCCTTCCACGTGCCACAGAAAGGTGTGTGTGTGTGTTGTATACAGCACAGGAAGGGAGAGGCAAGTGCACTACCAAACTGTGTGCTTGGGGAAGGAGGGAAGTGGCAAACACAGCACAAAGGGGATATTCTGCTCTTTCAGGCTGTGAGGTTAGGCTCCTAAAGGGTTATATTTATCCTGTGTTTCTTCTGACACTTGAAACAGTTCAAAGCTATTAATTTTTAAAGCACAGCATCTGTTTAGCTTTTTTCCTAACAGGAAAGCTTACACACCACACACTTACTTCCACGCATACACACACGCACATTTACATGCACATACTCAAAGGTACATTAACACCCCTCTTCATTTACACCAACGTACCCACAATTTCCATGCACGCTAACAGACACATACACCTGAAACAAGCTCACAGGCCATTTAATCACACTGCTATGCAAAACCAAACCCCTGAATTGTCCATACAGGCACATAAATTCATTTTCACCAGAACCACCCCCTCCCCCTTTCTTTACTTTAATCAGTTCACTTCTATATATCTATTTATTTAATTTGGGAGGGGGGCAGAAAGAACTCATCTTGATCTGGCAAGAGTTGATAAATAAATAACAATAAAAATAATAAATAAAGCAGTCAGCATGCTTCGAGTGTTTACAGACTCATTACCCTGTAACGATGATGTGAAAGAAGGAAGAAAAAAAAACCCCACCCCAATGACAAGGGGGGAGGAAACCCACACAGAAATAAATATTTAAGCAAGTGCTGCCAGAAGCACCATCTGCTGAGGCACTAATAATAATAATAATAATAATTTTTTCTGTGGTCTCTTTTTTTTTTTTTAATTATAAATATATGGGGGGGGGGGAGCAACCCAACCCAAACTAGCTAAGTAAGAGGTTTTGTTTTGTTGTGCGAGAGAATGGATTATCCCTGGGCAGCTTTTGGCAGTGGCTTTGGCAAACTCATTAAGCTAATTATGCAGTACAGACACAGAGTGTCGTGTCTTTCTCCCCCCCACCCCTTGATTTTAAAGCTTTAAACTGTTTTTAAAATGGTGTGTAAATTGAAGGGAAGTGGCTGTGCTGCCAACAGGCGGCTTGGGGAGCTTTTTAAGCAGGATGTGGTGGCCCTTAGCTATCTCACAAGCCTCCTTCAGTTACCTGCCTGACCCAGGGGAAGGGGCTTGCAGCGTGCTGTGGAAAGTGGATGTGGGTGAAGTGTTTCTGTAGGTCTCTGGTGAAGTTCAGAGGTAAATGTTCCATCCCTGGCAGCATTCAAGGTCAGGCTGGACAGAGCCTTGTGTGACATGGTCTAGGATGAGGCTCCCTGCCCATGGTGGGGGGGTTGGAACTAGATGATCTTAAGGTCCTTTCCAACCCTAACGATTCTATGATTCTCTTGCTTGAGGGTGGAACCTGGCGACAGAAAGGGTGGCATCTCCTCTCTCACTGCAATTCCTCTGCAATTTCAGCAATAATAGGGTGCTGCTCCTTCTGTCCCATGCAAAGACGGGCTTAAACCTTCCTCTGCTCTCCAGGAGATTATCAGTTGCCAAATGCATTAGAGGCACTGCTGCTTGAGTGTGGTGGTGCAACTGTCCTCTCTTCCCATGTGGTCTTTTGTCCCCTCCTCCTACCTCAGGGATTTGGGCAAAAGGGAGGAAAGGAAATCACCTCTCATCCACTCTCCAGCTAGGGAGAGCACTGTTCCCAACCTTTTCCCCTGCCTATGTGCCAAGATCTTCCCTTGCACCTTCCTAGCTGCAGACTGCCTCCCAAAGGCAGATTCTCTGGATCTGGCAAGGTGGGAAAGCACAGTACGTATTTCCCTCCCCTCTTGTTGGTAAGTGCCCACAGTGGGAACAAACCCTTCAGTTTTATCTCTGGAGAGAAGTGTTTGCTTGCTTCCCTGGCTGGTGGCTTTCTGTATATCAGGGACTTCTACAGTAAGCTTTCTCACAATACAGACAGAGGATTCAACAGGCCAGGGGCAAAGGCTGAGAGACCCTTTACACCATGAGTGCAGGAAGGTGTTATGCAATAATCTCCTCTGTCCCTTTGGCTCTCATGATGTTACTCACTGTCTCACCACAACAGCCCTGGGCTCCCTCTCAGCATTGCTCATTCCTGACCTAAGCCTGCCCACACCTGTGATAAGGTGTCCTAGTTTGCACCTTATTCAGTGAGGGTTTCTCATACAGATGAGCTGAAAAGTTTTCTAGGATAAACATCCCACACTCATGCTAAGACCCGCCCAACCCCTGAGTTACTTGTGAATTCCTCCAGCCTAGACTCTCAAAGGTGAGATGTTCTTTGCTTGCCTCTTGCAGGCACCAGGCGTGGTAGGCGGAAAAAAGCTGGAGACAGTGCAGCAATGGACAGAAAGAGCAACAGTCAAGAGACAGCGCTCCCATTTAAATCCTGGGCTTCTGCAGTGAAACATTTTTCCACTATTTGTCACACGATCTAACAGCTCTGGGGAGCTGAGCATGCTCTTGGCATGCTTGTACACCTCTCACAGCTACTGCTCTCCCAAGCAGGAGAACAGAGCAAGTACAGATGCCAGAGGGAAATGGAAGTGCCAATGACTGGTTTAAACACTTGATCCAGATGGACAAGACCTGATCTCTCCCACCACCATTCCACCCTCTTCCAGCCCTCTCCCCAAGAGAGTCAAGAATTTTGCCTACCTGGCAATATACTTCTGGTAAATGTTTACATCTTCGCTGACAGCTGGTTTGTCAGTGGGTAATCCATTCCTAATGAGAAACACACAGAGCAGAGCTGGTTAGCAGGCAGGAACAGGGCACAGCCTAAGCTCCTTGGTTCTCTCACACACCACTGACGCATCTGGAGAGACGGCCCAGGAAAGAGTACCCAGCAAAGCCATCCATACATTTAACCTACTTCCTCCTTGCCCTTCAAATCCTGTACCCTTTTCCTAGGGAACCGTAGCCCACCTACCACCCCTCCTGTATACTCCCTCTTTGTGGACTCAATTCAGTTTGCTGGAGACACTGAGAAGGCCAACCATGAAAATCTGCTTCCACAGAAAAACCCTAAATACCTATAAAGAAACAAGTGATGGCTGCAGGAAAACAAACACCTCCTTAAAGCACCTTGCAACGCTGCCCTTATTTGCATGGAAGGGCCATGAAGAAGAGTCTCTGTGCTTCAGCAATGCTGTGAGCTGCTGCACATTTCCTGTGGCCACCAGGCACCATGTGCTGCTACCTGGTACCAGCAAGCTGACTACAGTACCCGAGATAGGGCTTTAACTACCTCTTTTTTCACAGATACCCCAACTCCAACAGCTGGGCAGCAAAGGTATTTATGAAGAAAAACCCAACCCAACTGCACCCAACTGTCACATAAACCTGGGGTTACTTAACATCATCAGGAAGAAGACAAAAATTACATCCTCAGTGAGTTCAGCAAGAGGAAAAAGAGATACAGGGCCAGACTCCAGCCTACCTAAGAGCAAGTGGCATACCAACACAATCCCAGGCAGACTCTATGTGTCCTTCCTTCTTAGTTTTGCCCACGCCCAGCCTCCACTCCTACCCATGACAGCTCTGTAGCCTCGTTTAAACAAGGACACTTTCACGGAGAGTTCACTTGAAGTAGGTAGATTAGTTCCGGGAAGGTTAAGAGCATTAGATGTCAGAGAAATTAAACCCATGGCTAGGGCATACGTGCATATGCTGAGAGTAAGAGGTAATTCCTCCCAGGTTATTTGGTCCCAGTGGCGACTGTGAATAGAAAGCCAGGTCCCAAATACCACAGTTTACACTTCCTCCACCAGCACAACTAATAGGCTGCTTTCTTTTGTCATGACAGCCTGTATCTAGTAAGCAGCCTGAAGGAGAATGGATCCCCTTCTGTATTCTTGTGTGCGATCAGAACGCTAGGAACTGCCAGGTTGAAGGCCATGGTCACTTCCATTCCTGTTACAGCCCCATCATGATGCCCCAATTGAGGAAGTACTGTGGCTAGAGGAGAGACCACCATAGTGCTGCAAACCCACACCTGCAGGCAGCAGAACATGACCAAGAGAAAGGAAAGAAACCTGAGATCCCAGTGCAACACCAAGGCAGGTAAGAAGAGGCACACAACCACGCAAGCACAGTTCTAGGACAGCCACTGAACTGCAGGCAGCTGAGCATCCTGCACACTCTTCAGCCACAGAGCCCCTGGCCAAGTCACCCATCACAACAAGGCACTGTGCCTACAGGAATATTTACAACACTTATTTTTTAGTAACAGGAGTCTCTGCCTGCCATCTGGAGCACAGAGAGGGCTCATCCTGAGCAGGGGCCAGATGGAAATGTTAATAACCCTCTGCCCTTTCCCATACACCTTAACCATAGGGCTCTCAAATCTGTCTGCAGGCAGCTGGGAAATGACTGTTGCACATGGAAGACAAGTATCATTAACTCTGCCTTCCAGGTGGGGAAACATGGGAAGTGGGGAAAGCAGACCTTCCTGAGATTGCAAAGAACATTCAAGCGAGGATACAGCCCAAGGTCCACATATTAAACATAAAACAGCCTTCCTGATTACCAGAGGACAAAGTAGTAGGACGTGTGTAATGGCATTTGCCACAGAAGTGCAGGACAGAGGTCCTAGACTTACTACAAATGTCCCCATGGGATTCACAGCTCACAACAGTCCCAGGCTCACAGCAAGAAACAAGTAAATCCAAACCATGACAAGAAAGCAGAGAAGTCCCTCACTTCCTCTCCGTTTGCAGCCTCATGTGCAGATGTAGCTTTTCTACAGCTACTACCTCTAGAAGTCACGTTACAAAGTAATCCAATGTTTGGCAAGGCCTTAAGATATCTCCATTCAGACAATGGCATCACTGCAGATTGCCAGCAACATGTGTAGGAGGTTATTAGTGGTAATTGAGCTAATGAGCTTGCCCAGTCTGAGGGGTAATTGAATCACCTCTATTTGTGCAAGGAACAAGTAAATTGAGAAGACACAGGCCTGGCCCCACAGAAGTTGTATGTGCATAACTCCTATGAAAATTGATGGGAATTAGGCACCAAAATGTCTTCTGAGATCTGGGACAAACAAAAAGCCCCATCTTGCTAACAATAAAGTCAGCAGAGTTTTGCCACTGAGTTAAATAGCTGCAAGAATAAGGTTTTAGTACAAACACAGCTGGATGCCTGGGGAACCCAAAGAAGGAGAAAGTAGTTACAACTTTGACCTTAGAGTGCTGACAGCACCATGTTCCTTCACCTTTCATTTTAACATATAAACATAGAGTAGTAGGCTCTAGAGTCATGGCTGTGACTGCTGATGGCAGCCTACATCCTTAGTGCCAATAAAACAGAGATATAAGGTGCAACAGAGGAGCAGACACTCCAACAGAGAGCAAAAAGAAACATCACACATACAATGCAGTATTTATCATCACATGAACTGGAATTGCCCACTGATCCACACACAGACTTCAGCGATGATGCCCCACTAAGACAAAGAAAACTGGAAGGCCACTTACTTTACTGTAGAGACTGTTCCAGTTGTGATGGAGTCTGTCTTGGAGAAGGTTGACTTCAGGTACTCAGGAGTGTTGAATGACAATGAGACGGACTGCTCTGGTCCAGCCACAGGAGTGCTGCTGGGGGTACTGGCGAGGGGAGCAGGAGCCAGGCTGGGTGTTGGAGCTTTTACTGGAGTGAGCTTCTGAATGTTCCTCACATCATACTTGGAAGGCCGGCCTACCTTGCCTGTCTTGAAGGCGATGGCTCCTCCCATATCTGGGCTTCCTTCTCCAGGCTTGAAAAGGTGCAAGTACTTGACGTTTTCTAGGTCATACTTGGAGGCCTTCTTGTAAGTGTTGCCATTTTGTGGCCTGATGCTCTCACCTGTCTTCAGCTTCTGAATGAAGAAGTCATATTTGGAGGCCCGTGACATGAGGCCCTGCATCTGGGAACTGCTGGGAGAGGGCAGCGGCAGGATGGTGGCTTTGGTCTCCGTCAGCATGGAGGCATCTGCACCTGGCACCCGAATGGGCTGTGCCAGCACTGAGGAAGTTTCTTTGCCCAGCTTGGAGCCCAACTCCTCAGATTTGGCCAAGTGCATGGGCCAAGAGAGCTGCTCTCCAGCTTTCAGTTTGCGGATGTACTCCTCATACTTGGAGAAGCGGGCCCGTTTGCTCATGGCATCTTCACCAGGGAGAGAGGCAGCAGTCGCAGGGGCCTCTGAGGTAGCAGCATTCAGCTTGTCAAAGCTGATCTTGCGAGCCAGCTCATCCCTCATGTTCTGGTCATCATAGCCAAACATGCCCAGGAACTCATTCATGGTGGTGGCCGCATAATCTCGCAGCGATGAAGCTTCCCCTGCAGAGAACCAAAGTGAGAGAGTCATACAAGGCGCTGATATTTCTTCTCCTCCCATGCAGCAGCAGTAGCAGGGAGGGGGAGCAAGGGGAGAGGGGAACATGATCTACTGACGTTTGGCTCACTTGTTAGGTTTTACGACTCTTAAATTAATTTGTTTAAAAAAAAAAAAAGTAATTAATACTGGGGTAAAATAAAAAGAGTTCATCAATGCCAGGAAAATCAATTTCCTAAATGTTCTAGCCGATGGCTTTTCAGTACATTAAACAAAGTTTCATAAATGTCTCTGCACTCTTGCCTTGGCCTAATATGAAGAAAAAGTAATTTTACTGGAAGTGAGACCAATGCCAATATGCCAAGCTTTGTACAATTCTGTCCTTGTGTGTGTTTGTATATGGAAGGAGGTGCACAGAAGATAGATGGCAGAACATCTGCATGTGCAAGGGAGAGGGCAGAAACATGTGAGATATGCTGTGTGCTGGTGAACATCAGGGCTCAGGGCAGGCAGGACAGCACAGTGTGAGATGGAGAAGGGAGACAGGACAAGACAGTGTGTAGGGTAGAGCAGGAGAAGGGCAGAACAAAAAAGCACAGAGTAGAGAAGGAGAGCAGGAGAGATGGAGACTAAGGTGGGTGAAGAGCAGCAGAGGCTACAGGCATGAGAAGCTTGGCAAGGAGTGGAGAAGGCAAGACAAAGAGAGATGACAGCTCCCCACTGCTGTTGAAGTCCTTCCCTTCCCTGACAATTTTGTAAGAGTTCTTCCTTCTCAATCCCAACGGCTGGAGAGCTACTGCTCTCCACATAAAAAGGGGACACAGTTCAGTGAAGGCTGTGGTAATCTACAGGAACGTTCCCAAAGCAACCAGGAACAACTTTCAGTAAGGGGAAAGTCCACACAGGTGCAAAATAGGTAGGGAACAGCCTTCTCTCCATCCAGATTTGGACTGAGGACAGAAAGAGATGTTGTCCTGATGTGGACTCCAGAGAGGGGGAGAAAGCCTGTTCTCTGAAGCCTGGGTTGGGAAAGGGCAGGAAGGGGTTAGTCTACCTAAACATGATCACAGGGAGGAAGAATGAGCAAAAGCTGTCCTTCTTTGGGTCTCTCCCTCCCTTCCTCCCTTCCCTACTCCCTCAGGCAGTTTCACAGGCCACCAGGAGGGGAAGAACACACATCTGGAGGTCACCCAGTATCAGTGTAAAGGAGGAAATAAAGATTACTCTGACGTGCCAGCTTGGACTCATTTAGGCTTCAGTCTGACATAGCGCTCCTCCTCCTCTCCCTCTCACTTCTTCCTGCAGCGTAAAGATTTACTGTGTGCAGGAGTCCTTCAAACCTCCCTCGTCATCTTTTCCAATCACTCACTCTAGCTCTCATGGACATGCGCACCCCTTTACAGGGAGCCAACACAAGCACATACACTAGCAGCAGAATGGAGGTCCTGGTCAAACCAAACCAGCACTGCCTTGATACACAGTGGATAAGGAAGGTACCAAGGCATAGCCACAGAATAGGTGAGCAGATGCAAAGCATAGAAATGGTGCCCTTAGGATTTGGAGGACCTGACAGCCAATGATGTCACAGAGGCATGCACATACATGAGAGCATTCCCATACACACAAGACCCAGTCAATGAGCAAAATTCAGCTCCCACAAATCAGTTTCCACAGGACAATACAGAGGAAAAGACTGCCTGTAGTGGGCACTAAAATGGGCAAGACCATAAAGCTCATACTCCCATTTCATGCCTGGTAGAACTATGTTCCGGTGACAGAAGTGCTGCAGTATTAGTTCCTTATGTATATGGCAAGTTAGAAAGGCAATGCAAAGAATATGCCTGAAGCAGGACAAAGACACACTTGCTAAGTGATGGGACCTGGTATAACCCCAGATGACTTTTCAGTTCTGGGCACTTAGGCCCAGCATTCTGGATGGGATTTTGGGATGCCTGACTTCAGAATAAACACCCTCCTAGTTAGAGAATGGGTGACAGTGCCCCTGCGGTGGCTGGCTCAGGTCGTAGCTTTCTGTAGCACAACCTCACAGGTCACTATTAATCTTAAAGGATGTTAAAAGCAGATTCATGCCTCACAGTGTCCAGTAACAAGACTTGTCAGAAGGAAAACACTAGGAAAGGCTGTATTACTCCATCCTCAGAGGTAGGATCATTTCACCTGTGCTTCCCCACTTGACCCTCTCCTGTGGCCCTTCCAACACCTTACCAAAGCCATCAACTTTATCTTTCACACATGGACGTACTAAATAATTTCATCTTACTTTAAAGCAGCTCTCCTTTTACCTCTTTTTCTCTCTACCTCCATTTCAGTGTAACCCTATGGCCCAACAAAGTGATTAAACCCATAAAATCCCTATTGGGTCTAACACTTCCTTGTTTCTGTTAAATCTGCTTTCCCTTGTTCTGCTTTTCCTTTCTTTTTGGACCTGTAAGACAACCCCCTCGCTTCCTTCACAATCTTCTGATCTCCAGGCACTGCACAGAAAAGCTCTAGCTGGCCTGTGCCAAACTGCGATGGCAGGAAAAATACCACAGAGAAGATCTGATAAGAAATTAAACTGTTAAATGTGATTTTTACTAGCTTTAACAGCTGCCCTGAAACCCAGCCAGTGGGTACCTTCTTTGCTACCCATGCGCCTTGACCTCAACTGGTACAAACAATTGAATGCAAAACCTAAGATTAAAGGAAAGGGGGAGTGTTCAGACCTTTTTTTGAGCTTTGCAAAGCCTGAGCTTAAGTTCAGGATTCACTATCCTGGATTTAATCCTCTCACCCCTGCCAAAACACCCTGCATTCTGCTTTTCCTTTGCGCAAATTCGGCTGCAGGTGATCACAATACCCTCGCTGATCAACTGCTGCTCAGCCCTTCCTGATCCACATCCCAGACAGTTCCCACTACTCGCTACCCACCGAGTACACCTTGCTCATCTCAGCACAAGCCCACCAACAAACCTCCTAAAGCCAAGACAACCTTCACTTATTTGTACCTAATCAGAAGCCTAGAGGCTCTTCCAGCAGAGGCACTTTAGGAGAGGGAGCTGTCTCACCACAGAGATGGTATGAAACCCAGTCAACTCATTTCACATATACTTTTCAAACAACAGCAAAGGGGTAATCATTATTACCTAGTTGATAGAAAACCCTCCTCATATCTATGTGCAGACAAAAGTTAAGCAGGACACTGGCTGGGAAACAAACCCCAGTGAGAAGTGCAGCCACGGAGCCACAGGAAGCCTTGTCCCTGAGTTTTCTCTCCCCTCCCTGCACTGCATTTTTCTCTCCTTTGTGATAATAAAAGGGCTCCTCTCCCCTTGCTGCTGCTCTCCATTTGTGGGCATTGCCAAAGAGCACAGATCTGTGTGTCTCAGAGCAGCTATCGTATCACAAAGGATCCGAAGCTAGCAAAAAAGGGTCTAAAAATAGCCTGCAGCAGCACACTATATATGGAAGGAAAAGCAAAACAGCCCAAATGGAGTGCAAGGTCTGGATACTGGGGGATGGGACATCCCAGCCAGAGCTCTGTCCTTTATTCTGCTTGTGAGGGAAAACACGTAGAGTTGGGGACTATAGAAACTGGCAGTCATCATGCATGTTCTCCCAAGCGGAGTCTCCCCAGGAAATTATGAAGAGAAACCCCCACCTTGTCAAAACCAGGGCCAATATTCCCTTTCTAAGACACTTAGCCAACAGGCTAAGAAAAGAAAGCAGCACTTTGACAGCTTGTACAGCGGAAAGCTTCTGGTGACTACTTCAGCCCACTATGTAACAGAGTAAAGAACACGGGACTGTATAGGAAAATCTCCCTGGGTATGTGTGCGTCAGTGAGATGGTGGAAAGGGATCTCTGTCAGAGACTGTACTAGGAAACCTAAATGCTATATATAAATGTGTGTAGAGAAGCATGGGTCAATCAGTGGGCAGGAGAGGGTACATGAATGAATGAAGAAACATATCAGCATGTCCAGATCAGCTTCTGACAACCATCTGCTGACAGACAACAGCTTTGCGACTCCTGAACGTGTTTCATAGCTGTACCAGAGAGGGAGGCGCGTAAGGCAAGGCTGAGCACCGACTCATAGTCCCTTCTTTCCAGAGGGCTCAGAAAAAGGAACACGGATGGCCCTATATGCATGTCCTCCATCTTGTTTCAAAGCAAGAGGATTGAACAGCATAGACCAAGTCTCTGCGAACTCCTATCTCATGCACAATAAGCTTCACTGTCTCACCCTGACAAAGTGGCAGGGGTTTGGCACTGGACTACAGGATATGAACAGTAGCTGAAATCCCATAAAGCAGGCCGTGTGAGTACACACCGGGATTCCAGGAAGCAGGAACCCTTGAGCCCCATATAATCAGGATTGCTTTCCCTATGGACCAAGGAACTGGTTTCCTGTGTGGCTCTTGCTTTTCACCCAAGTTTCCAGCTGATCAAAGAAATATGGGTTCAATTTTAAGTGCTGCTGAGCACTGCCAGCTCTGTATCCTCTATGTCCTCAGAGGGAGCACAGGCATTAAGAACCCTCAAAACCACATTCCTGCAATGACTCCCCTGAAGCCGCACTGACCAGGAGGGAAGAGCTGTATTCCTCTCCTCTGATCTGACTGCCTCCTGCAACCACCCAGTTCCCAGGAAAAAAAACCTCCTTTTTGGTATAGGCAGTTCCAGATCTCACTGGAATAAACTGGTCTGAGAGGACCCAGTGATGAACAGCTTAAAATCCATTTTCTGGAACACTGACAGGAAAAGACAGAAGAGGCAAAGAACTCTGTCCTTTCCACAGCAAGGGATGTTTCAGTTTGTGCTTTCCAGGGAAATGTTGTGAACGACATTTACAACAGGGTTCTTGAAACAGACGCTCAAGACCTGGCAGCACGTCTGTTTGCAAGTCAAATCCCATGGGGCTCTATATGTAAACTGGACGCCGCATGTGCCATTACCTGCCTTAAACATAAATAAGCCTGCAGCCCCCCATGAGCACTTACACATTTTTGCATAGTCCTTTGACAACACAGCCCCACAAAGGCATTTTACCGAGAACCCCTACCCCGGTGCGAACCCTCAGTTCCTTTGATTTCCCCCAGTTTGGTAACATATTTTTTATATTTAAGATTCCCTCCTTTTAGTTTTCGTAGCAAATAAAAGCTGTAAATGGGGTGGGGGGATTAAAACAAACTAAAAACAGAGTCCAGGCACAATCACCTTGTGTCTGGGAACGACAAGGGCTTTCCTATCAAAGGAAACTGAAGGTCACACTTTTCCTCATTGATCTTGCAATGTTTGTTAATTACTCTGTCACTGATGTGGCGAAGGATAATTAAACAGCTCTGTTTATATCTTATATGCATAATTATGTGCGCTGCCACTGAACTCGTGAAGACTAGAGAATGTGCCTCTCCAGAAGGGGAACGGACAGACGGAGATGAGCTTCGGCTGCATTATTAACAGGAGGAGGAAAACATGCGCGCACACAAAAGAGGGAAAGTTTGATGGATTCACAAAGTGCTGAGATCAGGGGAGGGGTGCATGCAGGTGGAGCAGATTAGGGGGAGATCTTTCTATTACAGATTCAACCCAGCTGAGTGACAAATCGGGGAGGGAGCTGCTCTGACTTAATGAGAGAATTCAATTTACCCTAAGCCTTTACTAAGGCTTAGCTTACTCATACACACCCCAAAATCAGTCTGGGGGGAACCTGGGTATCAGAAAGCACGAGAGGAATTCATCTAGGGTTTTTCCCAACATTTCTTGCTGAATTCAGTTTTTGAATCCTAGAATGGTTTGGGCTGAAGGGATCTTAAAGCTCCTCCAGCTCCAACCCCTGCCACGGGCAGGGACACCTTCCACTGGAGCAGCTTGCTCCAAGCCCCTGTGTCCAACCTGGCCTTGAACACTGCCAGGGATGGGGCAGCCACAGCTTCTCTGGGCCCCCTGTGCCAGCGCCTCAACACCCTCACAGGGAATGAACCACAAAAATAAGGTAGAAGCTCTCTGAAAATCAACACACACAGAGCCCGTGGCCAGCACCCTGCGCCCAGGCTGGCACCCCAGACAGAAGCAGGAGGGATATAAAACGTTGGACCCCACAGTTTCATCAGCTCCAGCCCGAGCTGCCTCAGGAAGGAGACACCGCCATGGCGGGCAGCAGCCCCTCAGTGCGGGATGAGGGAACGGCCAGCAGCAAAAACGGATCGTGATGGGTTACGTGCTGGATTGCTCTCTTACAGCTTCCTATTTACACCCAGAAGGGGTCTGGTAGGCAACCAGGATCAGTGACGAATGCAGGCCGTGCCTGAGGGCAGCGAGCTCCGAGCTCCCTTGACACCACAGTGCCCAGAAGCTGAGGGCGGCAGCCGGGGCTCAGCTGGGCCCATACGGGATGTGCTGCTCCCCTGGTCCTGCCGTGGCACTGCGCAGCCTTCCCCCCGGGTCGGGCCCGGTCTGATCCAATCCCATCCCATCCCATCCTACCCATTCCTGAGGGAAAGCCGCCACGCTCCGACCGTCTCCCGCCGCTCCTTCCAGAACCTTGGCCCGCCCGCCCGCTCCCGCCTTCTCAGGTGCGGCCCCGCCCCGCGCCGCAGCGCCCCCTGTCGCCCAGAGACCCCCCCCGCCCGGGCAGCACCACGAGGCCCCCGTTCCCCCCCCTCCCCGCCATGTGCAATGCACGGCCGGGAAAGAGCACGGGCCACAGCGATCTCCATACAAATGGGGGCATATAGGGATGCTGGGGATGGACTCTTCATTAAGGACTGTAGCGATAGGACACGGGGTAATGGGTTAAAACTGAAACAGGGGAAGTTTAGGTTGGATATAAGGAGGAAATTCTTTCCTGTTAGGGTGGTGAGGCACTGGAATGGGTTGCCCAGGGAGGTTGTGAATGCCCCATCCCTGGCAGTGTTCAAGGCCAGGTTGGACAAGGCCTTGGGTTACATGGTTTAGTGTCAGGTTCTCCCTGCCCATGGCAGGGGGGTTGGAACTTGATGACCTTAAGGTCTTTCCAACCCTAACTATTCTATGATTCTATTCTATTCTATGGTGTGAAAGTGTCTACAGGGGCAGATCTACCCTACCAAGGGATGTAGGATCACTTTTCCTTCTCCAGGGAAAGAGTCATCCACCCTCATCAATGCCCCTCTTGGGAAGGGGAGGCTGGAGCAGAGGCAAACTCAGCATGGTCCTGAGAGCAGAATGCCAGGACTCTGCCAGGGGATTGAGGCTTCACCCTCCTCCTTGGCTGCCCGATGCAGACAGCATCTACATTGACACAGCAATGGCTTTGTCTGTCCCACAGATAACACAACCCTGGAACTGCAGGAGAAAGGGACAGAGGACTCACCTGAGGCAGTTCCTCCTCCCAGCTTGGAGCCCGTCTCGCCACTGGAGGACCGGTAGGCATCGTCCTTCAAGGCTGGCCCATCTGAATCCCTGTCATCCAAGAAGTTGCCATCCTGCGAGCTCCTCAGAGCATCCGCCTCATCCCCGTTATCTTCCTCGTCGCTGCAGCCCTTGGGCTGCACCATGTAAACCCCTTCGGGGGGCACCTCCGCGCTCTCCTTACATTCCTTGCCCTCCACTCGCCCCAGCAAGGGCTCCTCGTTGTATTCCCCATTCACCCACTTCTCAATCACCTCCCTCCTTTTGTCCTCCTCGATCTTCTGCACGCGGCTGAGTCCATCTGAGAACTCCGACCCCAGCTCCTTGGTCCCGGGCTGAGGCAGGTCCTTGTTGCTGCTCTCCCGCTGCGGGCCCTTGTCCGCCCGTGCCTCGGCTCCCCCGTGGTCGAAGACGACCTGGCGGCTCAGCTTGGCACAGATGGCATTTAGCTTCAGGCCGCCTTTGCGCTTGGCAGCCATTGTGGGTTTTCCTGAGGCTGCGTCAGTGCATATAGTTCTTTCAGCTGGAAAGAGAGGGGAAGGAAGCAGGGAAGGCCATTAGTGGGATCAGACAACTTGAACCCAAACAGCAAATGGCTGGTCCCAACCCAACAGGGCTTCAGGCATGGCCAGTGTCATCCTCTGAGAGGTGGCACTGCCGTCTGTTTCCTAAGCTCTGAGTAGAAGCCCAGCCAGGAGAGCCTGGTGATGGGCATGTTCTGAACTTTCTACCACTAAAGGATGCCTCAAGCAAGAGGCATGTATTTATGGTGGGACTGAACAGGGCTCAAAAGGCACCAAACGTCTCAGGCAGGTGAACAAGGTAGGGACCAGCCTTTGCTCCTGGATCAGGCAGGGTATGAGCTCTGGTAAAAGCCTGGCTTGCTCTCCCTTCAGACTGCAGCACCACCCGCTTTTAGGTCCCCAGCTCCATCCCAGATGTGCTAGCTGCCAAAACCACACCAGCCACAACTGCACCGAACCACATGCAGCAGGGAAAGCAGCTTCCCAAGCCTAAACCAGGGATGGTGAGGAACTCCCTGAATGGAGTTTGCACATAATCTCAGAGAAGAGAACCAGTATGCACCAGAAAGAACCAGTACTGAGGACATGAGCCCCCCTAAGTCCATGCACTGGAGCACCAGACTGGTGTGCAGTGGTATGGGAGAAAATCGGGTTGGTATGATTTGATCAGGCTCCTTTGCCTGCTCTCACACAGGAAATTCTGCTCTCACACTTCCCAGCACAATCAGCTAATTAGTGTGGGTTTGTTATTTTAATGTAGTTTATTCATATGTGACAGCTAGTAAAGGAGGGGTAAGAGAAAGTGGGGGGAGAAAGGAAGAAGGTAAGGTCTTAACTTCAAGGTCACGCAGAATCTTGAACTAAATGGTTCCTATCAGAGTCACTTGCATAATTACTGTACCAACAATTAGCAAGATTCACTTGCAAATAAAGGCAAAAAACTGATTCTAAAGCAGCTATGTTGTCTCATTCCCCTCTTTATTTATGACACCTCTGATAGAACCCAGACTAAGAAGGGTTAAAGGTCCCAAGGCAAGAAACGTGCACACAGCTGGGCTCTTCCCCAGCACACAGTGTTGCTAGGCTTGCCACTAACACTGCACTGGAGATACTGTTGGGACGTTGCTAGACGTCCCTCCAAAACCCGCTCTTAGACTTCTATGTCGTGCTGACAGAGCGGCCAGAGAGCAAACAGAAACCGTCTGCAGACCTCGAGAGGTGAGAACGGGTTCCTCCACTGCACAGGAGTCCCTCGTGGCAGCTCAGCCTGCACCTCCCTGTCACCAGCACAGAGGTGCTGCTCCAGAGAAGAACAGAGAGATTAATCAGACCCCCTACAATGCATCCAGAAGCCATCATGACAGCCCCTAATCCCATAACATGACAGCCCAATACAAACAGACTGAAACTTTAGACCTGCTGTCCAAGAGCCAGAGAGTGGCTGCTTAGCATAAACTCCTGACAGCTTCAGACACGCTTCCCTGTCAAGGTTTGCAAGGAAAATACCCCCCCCAACAAAGTTATCAGCCCCACACACACAGAGGCAAACCAAACTCCCCTCCTTTCCAAATGCACACCCCCCCGGCACTAACACCTACGTGCAATCATGCTTTCACGCAGGGAAAGCACACGTTGCCCCCGAACACATACCTCCCCACCTAGAGATTAGAGCTGTTCAAGAGCTGTGTGTATGTGCTGGCACGCTCCACAAGTGCAGTCAGACACGTACGGGTTAAGAAGTCCCATCTCCCCCAAAATACATTCCCATACATTTCCCCACGCATTCCCCTTTCACACATTCCCCCCGCACACGCACGCAGTCCTCACGCATACAGATGGGCACCGGCAGACGCCCATCAAGCTGCAAAAGTCTCTGTGTGCTGGCACCTTCCCTTCCCATCACATTCCCACTCTATTTAGGGCAGAAAGTGAAGGCCGATCCTATGTGCAACTGGTACCACAGAGGGAATCTCGGGAGGCTGCTGTGAGCTCCAGCTGGAGCCCAGCCAGGACACCTACAGCTCCCGCCTGTATGCTCGGGCGAAGGGCCAGCGGAGCCTCGGTGGCTGCGGGTGGGTAGGACGGTGCCCAGGGTGTGTGCCCATGGCTGGGGAACGGGGTCAGCACTGAACGGCTCTCAGCGCTGCCTGGTGATTCCCCGTTCCCACCATCCCCAGCCCTGCTGAACGGGTGAGCTCAGCACCGCTCGCAGCTGGAGATAACTGGGAGGCAGACACGCGGCAGCCCAAATCCCCGCTGTCCTCCCCCTTTCTGCAGCGAGGGCAGGTCCCATTATTCTGGTCTGGAGGTGAGCAGCCAAGTGTGTGCACCAGCCGGCAAATGAATATATAAATATTTATTCAAAGGAAGAGAGGAACAGACGTTCCCGAGGCTGCACTTGCCGCGTACGCAGCAACTCCACGGAGCCTGCAACTTGTCTTCCGTCCCTGTTCCTGCCTCCTGCCATCTCACACACCCTGGATTTGCCCCTCTGCCTCCCCAGCTCCTGCCTTTCCCCTCTACATCTTTCCTGTCCCTTCTCCTGGGTTTGGGACTTCTTTTGAGCACCGCAGTTCTGCTCTTTAACACTTCAGGAATCTTTTCCTGAAGTTTAAGTTAAACATGAAGCAAGTTCTGAAAACATACATGTTCCCTGATCTGCAAAACTAACCCCCCAGAGACCTTCCAGAGGTGGGATTTGCTCTGCAGCACCAGGGCTCTCTGGTATCTCCATCCCATCTATGCACATGTGGCTGCGGGAAAGCAGAACTCCCAGCTTCTGCCAACCAACTCTCCACAGCCTGGGCACATCATTTTATCTTTCCATTGCCTTATTTCCTTGTGCGTGGAATAGGAGGGACATTACTTATAACTACTTATATCAACATTCCTGTTGCCCTCCTTTAGCCTATCAATTTCAAAAGCAGAAGGGAAAGAGATGCTTTCACCTTACAAAGGGATGCTAGAGAGGGGACCAGAGCATCTGAGTTTGGTTCACTCGGGCAGCGGGAGAGGAACTGAGCTGCTCAATGAAGGACCCTTGTACCTACCCGAGGTTGGGATTGCTGTACCCCCAAAGCCAGACATAGGCTCCCTCCCCCCGGGCTGAACTCCCCACCCCAAATCACCCTGCGTCTCCATTGCACTGTTTAAAGATTCCAGGCTAAGTAAACATCCCCCTTCATTTTCTTCGTCTAAATAGAACTGTTTTGATTTCGCATCAATCTGAGGAAGCCGTTCATAACCTGAGCCTGTCACACGGGCTTTTCATCTCTGCCCAGGACAAACTCTCCCACATGCTCTATTTACACTGAGTGCTTCCTCTGAAAACAATGCCACCGGGAGTTTACTCCGTTCGCCCCCTCCCCACACCCTGTGAGGGGACACCGGCTCCCTCCGCTCCGCACCCAGCCCCGTGGTGTCTCGAGAGCAAACCTCCCTTTGAAGAACAGCTACAGCTTGTCACAACCAGGCCTGGCAGGGAGCAGGACAAAACCCACCTCACCATTTGGCTGCCCTGTCCCCCTTGAAGTGCTCAAAAGCCCAGCTCTGTCCCCAGTGCCCCTCTTTCCCCTGCACTCCACGTGCTGCAGTGCCCAGTGTGCAGCCCCGGGCTCTCTCCCTCCATGCAGTCCCTGAAGCAGCACCTCCTCTGCCATGAAATCCAAAGTGTGGGGAGCTTCCAAAGTGGGCACGGCTTAGCTCTGCCTTCCCCCAAGGGAGAAGAGGGGCTGAGGGGGGCACAGCATGGGTGGGAATGAAGGGCTTTGCAGCATGGACAGAAATAGGGCATCCTGGGCAAGGGACAAACGCTTATGTGAGGACAAGGTCTGGCTTTGCAGGAAAAGAGAACCAAAGTCTGGCTTTGGCTTTGGGTCAGTGAAGAAACACAGCCTGGTAGAGGTGGGAAAGGGTCCAGGCTGTAAAAGAGGGGCATGTGGGGCCTGGATGAACCAGCCTGCGGAGCTCAGTGGTGTGGGAAGAGCTGGGGGTACAGGCAGGACCCCGATGGATGGGGATGGGGTTGAGGAGGGGCAGAAGAGGAGGGGCAGAAGAGGAGGGAAAGGAGAAGAGGGGCAGGAGGGCCGGTGCTGCAGGGAGAGGGGTGCTGGCTGGGGAGGGCCAGCGCGCTGTCACTTCAGAGGGCCGGGTACGTCGAACAGATGGAGCTTTCATATTCCTATTGAAGAGTTTTAAGCCCAGCTGAGCAGCTCCGTTCAAGAGGGAGGTCCCAGTGCCAGCTTTCCAGGAGCTGCAAGCTCTCATTCGATTAATTATTAACAGTATTATTTGGGGCGGGGAGGGGGAGGAAGCAGGGCTGACATGCTGCACAGTCCTTTTCTCTTTTAACCACTCTGGTGCAAGCTTGACTGGAGAGACTCCAGTCTGCCCGGGAGCCCCAAACAGGGAGGGCAGCACTGCTCGCTGGGTGAGGATGCTCCTAAAGCCTCTCTACACTTGAGCCAAAGGTTTGGAGCTTAGGACAGAGCCAAACCTTCACAGCAGAAGGCGGATGGGGCATTGGGCTTCCCCGGAGCAAGGCCCTGGTTGTGCCCAGCCACACGCCAGGAGGAGGCAGGGAATGCAGCCAAACACTCAGCCCCTTCCAGAAACCACTTCCATTCCAGCACAAAGCCTTGTGCATTATCCAAGGCAGGGTGAGGGCAAAGGCAAAGGCAGCAAGGCCCGGGTATGGCCCACAACGCATGAGAGTGGATTTAGTGTGTGTTTTCCCCTCTTCATTTTATCAATAAAACATTTTATTGCTTTTAGCCCAGGAAATGACCTTGGATTAGCAGATGCCGTCTCTTCTGGCTGACCTTGGGGAGTTCACAAAGGCTCTTTAACAGCCTCCTCTGCCCTGCAAGCATGGATCCCGCCTGTGCACAGACGTCTGCATGAAGCCAGGGAAGCCCTCGGTGCGAGAGCCGGACCCGACAGGCTCCAGCTCAGCAACGGGCAAGGAGGAGAAGGAGAATCAAAGACGTGGGAGGAGAAA